ATGGCATCAGATCCGTCCCTCCTCCGGCCACTCTTTCCCTGGAAGGATTCCGACCTGGGGGGCTTGGGGAAGCCAGAGGGGCTCACTTCCCTGCCCAGGTAGCCCCAGAGGATAGGATCTGTAACCTGCTGCTTCTTTCCCTGTGGATCGCCTTGGGGAGGCAGAAAAAGCCCAAAGGCCCCCTGCCAGTGCCCTGGAGCTCAGTACCTCAGCCATCACGGCCAGGTCTCTCTGCTAACCTCCTGCTGGAGAGCCATGCAAACATCCTACTGGTAAATCAAAAGGACAGAAACATTTCTATACTAAAATCCGTCACTCAGCAAAGGTTGTCTGGGGGAACAGAATGCCTTTCCAGGCTGCCTGTTCAGAGCAAGGGCGGTCAAGGGATGGGATCGGGAAAGCCGAGTTCTCCCCCTCCTTGCATTATCTTTCTCTCCCTGGACAGAACAACAGAATAACAACAGAGTAACAGAATAAGAGAATTGGAAGAGATCTTGGAGGTTTCCTAATCTAATTGAACCCCCTGCTAAATGGCTATCCAACCTCTTCTTTAAAACCTCCAGTGATGGAGCACCCACAACTTCTGGAGGCCAATCTTTCCACTGGTTAATTGTTCTCACCGTCAGGAAATTCCTCCTTAGTTCTAGGTTGCTTGTCTCCTTGATGAGTTTCCATCCGTTGCTTCTTGTCCTGCCTGCAAGTGCTTTGGAGCAGGGGTCCCCAACCCCTGGGTCTGTGGACCAGAACTGGGCCGTGAGCAACCGGTCTGCACAAACAAGCAAAGCCCCGTCTGTGGGATGCAGGCAGCACACACCCCCTCCGGTCCGCAGAAAAACCTCTTACTACGCAACCGGTCCCTGGCACCCAAAAGGTTGGGGGCCTCTGCTTTGGAGAATAGGCTGGTTTCCCCTGCCCCTTCTTTGTGACGTTTGTGGACTCTGCTTCCTCCGTCTTCCTTCCCCTGTGCTCATTCTCCTTGGGAAGAAAAGATTCAGTCGAGGGGGTAACAGGGCCAGACAGGGAAGGTGCTTCATTGACCAGGGTGGGGGTGAAAAACAAAGGCAGGCTGCTTGGTGTTGCAGTCCTCCTGGGAGCTGAGCTTCTGCCTCTGTTTCCACTCATATGCTCTCTCTGTCCCACAGTCCTGTGTCCCCTCATCTGCCAAAATGGGGGAGTCTGTCTCAAGAAGGACAAATGCCTCTGCCCCCCCAATTGGACCGGAAAGTTCTGCCACATCCCAGCCTTTCCTCACCTCAGCCAGAGACAAGGCCCTGCTCACCCTGGAACCGAGTGGGAGCCGGAGATCAGACGGCAGCAGTCCGTGCACACCCTCCCAATCACCAACCACCAATACGAGCGAGATGGTAAGGAAGCCTGGAGGGCGGGGAGAGCAAGTGAGAATCAGACTGTGAAGGAACCAAGAAGAGAGAGAAATGGCTGTGAAAGTTTGCTTGTGTGCAAATGTTCCAGGTGAAGGCACAAAGGCAGGGCCGTCCCCCTGCCCATGGCTGTATGGAGCTCGGTGCATCATTGCCGGGGCAGTTAAGAGCTGGACCCCTGGGGTGAGGGAACAGAAGGATCTAGGAGAAGAAACAGGGTCCCCCTCCTCAGACTCTCCCCTCAGGACCAGCATCTCAGGGTCCCCTCTACAAAGAGCCTCTTCTGCAGTGGCAGCCACCCTGAGGAGCATCATTCCCACCCCACCCTGGCCTTTAGGCTGCCTCCGCCCCCCCCCCCCTGGCCTTTAGGGAGGCTCTGCCAGTGGGGCTGTGGGGCCAACAAAAGTGGGGCCAGCTTGCAAAGGCTGCACTGAGCGGAGATAGGATGCATTCTGATTTCCCTCTTATGGACAGCTTTATATCAGTTTTTCACTTATTTTTCTTGGATTGTTTTTACCTGTTGTGAGCTGACTAGAGTCTCCTAGATGAGATGAGCAGCCATATAAATCTAACAAATCATAATCATCCTGTCATAGCAACAACTTCCCCTGCCCTGGGCAGGAGAGGCAGGTCAAGCTAACCAGGGAACCTGCAGACTGGGGTGGGGGGGACAGCAGGGCCAGGGGAGGGTTTTTTGCCCAGGGTGCAGGTGGGAGGGGAGCTGAGCCCGTTCCGGGCAGCAGAGAGGACTGGCGGGGTTCGGTTTTGGGTCCCCACCGGCGTCTCCTCCCGCCAGGTATGGCGTCGCTGGTGAATGTCCACGTGGAGCACCCGCCGGAAGCCTCGGTCACCATCCACCAGGTGGAGCGAGTCAGCGAGGAGCTGCTATCCAGCGACCCCAACGCCCTCCCGCCCTCCCGCCCAGCCCTCTCCGGCGTGTTGGCCCAGAGCAGCCGCAGGGATCCTCAAGGCGGGTACGGTGAAAGCTCCGGCTTCGGCTACTGCTTCCAGCAGCTGCACGGCGAAGAGGTAGGCTGAGGCGGCTGTCGAGCAAGCCTGCTCTGGCGCCGGGCCCGCTGCAGGGACAAGCCTGCAGGGAAAACGGGGGCTGAGCTCTGGCCGGGACTCGCGGAGGCGACTGTAGATTCCCGCGGCCGCGCGGGGGCTTCGGCTGTTGCCGGAGGGGCCGCGACCGGGCGCTGGCCCGGGTCAAGCCTGCCTTCGTCAGGTGTCCCCGTCTTCCCTTGCCAAGCGCGTCGTTCTTCCTCCTGGGCGCCCACAGAGAGAGGCAAGTTGCGCAGAGACGCCGGAGGCTTCGGTCTGCCCTTCCAGCGAGGGAGGCGGGGCGGCGGGGAAGATCGGAGGGCGGGAGGAGGCCGGCAAGGAAGGCTCCCGGAGGCGCCCCCATTTCAGCTTCTCTTTGCTGAATTCTCCGCCCAGCTCCAGCGCACGCAGGTCTATTTTAACGCCCCACGCAGAACCACGCAAGAGTGCAACTTTGCGCGACCGATTCCTTCTTGAGAGGGTGAAAACGTCCCGGGAAGAAGCGAGCGCGCTGCTCAGGCTCCCGTTTCTCAGCCTGCATCCCAAAGGGTGGCGGGGGTGGATTTTTGGCTATACGCAGACATGCTTGTGTGAATTCACACCTTGCCTTCTCCTCGCTTGCCAGGAGCGAGGAAGGTTAACGGGGTGTCGCTGGGTCGGTCAGGGCATTGCCTAACTGCCTGCTGCCTCGCTCTTTCAGTGCAGTGCCCCCCTGCCGGGGCTGCGCACGCGAGAGATCTGCTGCCGTGGGTCCGGTGTCGCCTGGGGTGTTCACGGCTGTCTGCCTTGTGCCGATGGTGGCGTGGGTAAGATAGCTGAAAGCCGGGGATTCTTGCTGCCCCGGGGTGCCCGATATCCAGCTGGCTTCCTCTGACCCAATTCTTTCCCCAGATCTTCACCTCCCACGCGCACTTCTTGGCTCTGCCTGCTGTTTGCCTCCCTACTTGGAGAGCCCCCCCCCGCTGTTTTTCCTCATTTCCCAAGCAGCCCTGTCTGTGGGTGGGGGGTGGGTGGGCAGCGGTCGCTCAAGAAAGGGGGTCGGGGTGGTCTTTCATTCTCTGAAGCTGTTTCTCCACAGGGGCTTCTGGGCCAGTTGGAAGGAATGTGGTGGGCTGCCCCAGAGGGTTCCTGCGGCTGAATAATTCCTGTGTGGGTGAGTGGCAAGGCCACCCGGGAAGGCTTGGTGGGCTGCAAGGGATGCAGGGAGCCTTGCTGAGATGCTGGACCTGCAGGTGGGGATAGCCCACCCAACTGATTCCCCCTACCCTCCTGACCCTCTCTCCCTCTTACCAGATGTGGATGAATGCCAGGAGGGCAACTTCTGCCACAATGGGGAATGTACCAACACGCGTGGCAGCTTTGCCTGTGTCTGCCATGAGGGCTACATCCTTGATTCTTCCCGCAGCAGCTGTATCTGTGAGTTCGGCTCCAGGGAAAGGCAGGGAGGAGGGGTGGGAGAGGGGTGGGAGGGAGTGTGAGATGGTTCCATCTGGAAGTCCAGGCCAGCCTGGAATGACAGCTGGTAGAGTTGGGGGGGGGCTCTCCTAAGGCAGGCAGGTGTAGGTGGGCCGATGCTACCCTCCCCTGTCCATCCAAGGCAACATGGAGGAAACCCAATATTGTGGGCCCCCAAAGGGTGAAAGAGTGGAGTGGAAGTAAAATTTTATTTCACATTTGGTTGGTTTGAAGAATTCACACAAAAGTGTGTAAGAGAGGGAAGTAAAATCAGACTGCTGAGAAAATATTTTCCACCTGCAGGCCATTGGCTTTTGGTATGAACAGCAGGGTTGTACCAAATGTATAATTGATCAGAAATTGTGTCCAGATATTAAGAAATAAATCTTCAACTACTTATTCAAAATTGGACAAATTATGCAACCAACTGATCTGAGCTGAATGCAAATTTATCTAAGATAAACTTTGAGAGCGGGCAACCAAATTTCATTTTTTATGTGTGCCGTTGTCCCCACAGTAAAAAAAATGACAATAAAGGTTATTTTATCTTATCTATACAGCAAAATATTATATTGGGGACTGGTTGAAGGATTTTAAGGCTGCACAGCAAACAGCCACTCTCCCCGGCGTATCCTAGCCACACTCAGACTGGGCTTGCCCCAGGTGGGGTTGGGGGGCAGCCACCTCCTGGATTGCTAGCAAGCCAAAGCTGCCCCCCCCCCCGCTTTAAGCCCTTCTCTTCCTCCCCAGCCCATCACGTGATCTCTGAGGTGAAAGCGCCCTGCTTCCGTGTACTCCGGGATGGCCGATGCTCCTTGCCAACCCTCCGGAACATCACCAAGCAGATCTGTTGCTGCAGCCGAGTGGGCAAGGCCTGGGGCTGGGCCTGCCAGCACTGCCCGCCCTTCGGCTCGGGTGAGACCTGCCTGGGCACCCAGGGCTCTGCCGCAAGAGGAGAAGTTTATCAGTGGGGCAGGAGTAAAGGCAAGGGGGTAGGGGTGGGTGCTTTGCCCTCTCCCTGACTTGCTGCTTCTGCTGCTGCTCTCCTGCCAGAGGGATTCAAGGACATCTGTCCAGCTGGGCCCGGCTATCACTACTCTGCCTCTGACCTCCGCTTCGACACTCGCTTCCTTGGCCAGGACCCCCCCAGGGTGCCGGTCACCCATCAGCATGGGAGGCAGGGGCCTCCCCCCCAGGTGCCTCGGACGACAGCAGCACCAGCCCTTGTGGGTATGTCTTGGTGGGGGGGCTCATGGACTGCTGTCATTGAACTCCTGGATATGCCTCCCCCCTCTCTCTTGACCTGAGCTCCAGTCTCCCAAAGTGAGTCTGAGGGAATCCCCCAGACCAGGTTGGCCAGGGTGTGTCTCCAAGGCAGCCTCCTCCCCTTTTCCTTATGCCAGTTCTTTCTGCTTTGCAGCTCTCCGGAGTGCCCCTCCCACTACACTGCTGGAGCACTTTCCTTGGCCCCTGCCCACTCGGTCCCCTGGATCTGGGCCAGCCGCACCAAGTACAGAAGGTAGGACTGAGCCTCTTGTGGGGCTATGCCAGGTGATGAGGGGCTGGAGGAGAGGGGGGGGAAAGGCCAGAGCACAGAAATGACCAGGCCCCTGTGCCATGTTTCCCCAGAGGCTGGCAGAGGGGTGTGCGAGCGACACCCCCAGGTGTGCGGGCCAGGACGTTGCATTCCCCGCCAGGGGGGCTACACTTGTGTGTGTGAGCGTGGCTACTGGTTGAGCCCTCAAGGCACCCACTGTGTTGGTGAGTTAGAGAATGCCCCCCCCCAAACCCAAGGGGAGCAACCTTTGTGATGGCATGCAGGTCTTCACCTCCTCAACGCCTCCCAAAAGACAGAGCTTCTGATGGTCATGTGGACTTGCAACATGAATGCCACCCCCCCCCCGGGTAGGCGGTCAGAGGAGCAGATCAAGGGCTCCGCTGGGCTATTCTTGCCTTCCCACCTTCCCGCCAGCCGTTTTCCCTTCTTCTCTCTCTGCAGATGTGGATGAATGCCGCGGCAGTCCGCACCCCTGTGCCAATGGGCATTGCCAGAACTCCCCAGGTGGTTTCAGCTGCAGGTGCCGCACAGGCTTTCAAGCTGACCCCTCCGGCATGGAATGCCAGGGTAGGGGTTCCAGAGGCTTTGGCCCTCAGGGGAATCGCCCTTCCTGTGCACCCGTGTCTCTCATTGCCTGGTTTCCTTTCCAGATGTTGATGAATGTGCCCACGTGCCCCGACCGTGTGCAGGTGGGCATTGCCTCAACACCCTGGGCTCGTTCCGCTGCTCCTGTCCCAGCGGCTATCAACCCGACCCCTCTGGCGCCGAATGTCGAGGTAATGGGGGTGGGGCCTTGGTGGGGGTGGGAGGCTGGCCAGCCAATAGCACCAGCTCTTCTCCTCTGCCTCCCCCACTTTTCTACTAGTACACAAAGGCGAGGAGGCATTGAAACATGGTTCTCATGCAGAGGAACCTGGGGGTGTTTTGCCATTATGGCTGCCCTTTTTCTCTGGCTGCAGATGTAGATGGGTACTTCCAAGCCCCCCCCCTCAAATGCACTACTCTTTCCTCTGTGCCTGCTCCCTTGGGTACAGCCAGTGTCAGGGTGAGAGCAGGTGGCCCAAGATCATACCCCCTTTGCTGATAGTAGTTGGGCCCTCCTGGCCAGAGCCTCCTTTTCTGCTGGGGGGCTGAGTGGTTGAAGGAGGCAGGGAGGAGCCTCGGCAGAAAGCCACTGTGTGATTTTCCAGATGTGGATGAGTGCAAAGAGCGCCCTTCCCTCTGCCAACCTGGCCGCTGTGAGAACCTGCTGGGCGGATATCGCTGCAACTGCCCCATCGGTTACCAGCCAAACCCACTGGGGACTCTGTGTGCAGGTCAGGGGGCTGGGGAGAAGCTGCCCTGTGGGTTGTCCCATTTGTGCTTTGGGGGATGGCAGCAACCTGTTCAGACAAACCTCCCAGGGAGCCGCCTCTGCAGGCTTTATTCAGAGGCAACCAGAGACGAGAGACCGGTGCAGGTCTAGAGGAGCCCTCTGTGATGTAGCCTCTTCCTTTGTGCACCACAGATGTTGATGAATGCCTGCAAAGCCCTCCGCCCTGTGGCTCTGGGCGCTGCGAGAATGTGCCCGGTGGATACCGCTGCCTCTGCCCTGCTGGGTTCCGGGCCAGCCTGACGGAGAACCAGTGCCTGGGTACGCAAGGAGAACGGGGAGGGGGGAGGCCTGGGGGCAGCACAGGCACACCACTGATGGCACACTCCTTCCACAGATATTGATGAGTGTGCAGCAGCAGGATTGCCTTGCGGCCCTCAGGGGCACTGCCTCAACACAGAGGGCTCCTTCCGCTGCCAGTGTGCCCGAGGGTACCGGACGGAGGGCGTGGGGGGTGTTTCCTGCATGGGTGAGTGCCACACATCAGAGGAACATGTGTGCCAGGGCTGGGCTCAGGGGCTGCTGCCTTCCTGTAGACCCATGCTGAGCTTCTTTCTGAGCTCCCTCCAGGCATAGACTGGCAGCACTGGCAAGAACAGTGCCAACTCATCTTTCCCCACTGCCAGATGTTAACGAGTGCCTGGAAGGCAACTTCTGCTTCCCACGGGGTGAGTGCCTCAACACTGAGGGCTCCTACAGCTGTCTGTGTGCCCAAGGTTTCACTGCAGCCCCCGACGGGACCTCCTGCGAGGGTAAGGGGCCTGCAGTCTCAACTGGGGGGCACTGGGTGCATGCCAAGTGTGGGAGGGATCCAGAACCACCACGGGATTCATGCTCTGCTGACCTCTCTTTTGGCCTTTGCACAGACATTGATGAGTGCCTCAGTGCTACAGTCTGTGCTGGGGGGCACTGTGCCAACACTGAAGGCTCGTTTGATTGTTATTGCCCTCCTGGCACCCGCAGCACACCCAGCAAAGCTTCCTGTGCAGGTGAGTGGCACTTTTCAGCTCCAGCCTCTCAGCAGTTGGTCTCGGGCTGTGGGACGGAGGCGGCTTTGTCACTGTCAGACTGCCAAGATTGAGAGAGGGGAAAGTCAGAACTTTGGTTGAAGCTGTGAGACAGGAGAACTGTGGCTCCCTGGAGTCTCTGGCCGCTGGCCATGATAAGCACAAGCTCCAAGTCCACCTGATATGGCCTTCCCCTGCTTGACAGCATTAGTGGGCCCCCTAAGGAGAACCACAAACCAAGAGTTTCTTTGCCACCTGCCCCCCCCCCCGTGCTGGAACCTCTCCCTGCTGCAAAGCCCCTGCAGTTTTGTTTCCCTTGCGGGGGACCTGGGGACCCCAGAGGCTCATCCTGGGAGACTCCGCCATAGTTGGTTAACCCTTTGGATGCTTAGGGCAGGGTTTGGTCCCTGGAATTCTGAGCCCTCTCCAGGGGACAAGGAGCTCCTCCTGAGCCTTCTTCTCTTCCTACATCCCACAGACATTGATGAATGCCAGGAGTATGGGGCAGCCCTCTGTGGAACACAGCGCTGTGAAAACTCAGTTGGCTCATACCGCTGTGTCGTGGCTTGCCAGGCCGGCTATCGAACCAGTGCCACGGGAGACTGTGTTGGTGAGTTCTGCCAGGGCTGTGCAGAAGGGGCTGGCTGTTGGTGGACTTTCCGTGTCTCCTTCCCCAACCCTGGGCTGGTTCTAGGCATCTGCTGCACAGTGTCTGCATGGGTGCTTTGTCCAAGAAGACCCTCCTTCTATATGGGAGGGTTCAGCTTTGCTTCCTGCTCATTACGCCTTGCATTTGTGCCAACCGGTGGTTCCCCCTTCAGATATTGATGAATGCCAGGAGTCCAGAGTGTGTGGAGAGAAGCGATGTGAGAATATGCTGGGCTCTTACCATTGTGTGGCCACCTGCCAGATAGGCTACCAAGCCACTGCTGCTGGGGACTGCATAGGTGAGGACATCCATGGGGTTTGGACTGTGGGCAGGAGGAGAAGCCCCACAGCGGTGGCCTCTGCAATTTAGCGACACGCCAAAGGATCACAGCTCTTCTGAGTGGGTGCATGTGATCCTTGCAGATGTGGACGAGTGTCAGAACAGTTCCACATGTGGTGCCCATTCCATCTGCCACAACTTGCTTGGTTCCTTCCAATGTATCTGTGACCAGGGCTATGAAAGTGCCAGGGATGGGCGGCATTGCTTAGGTATGTGGCTGGCAGCAGAGCATGGGACGGAGGCCCTGGAACAGACCAAAGGGAGAAGGCGAGGAGGAGGGAGGGGGAGGCCTGGATCCCAGTGGCACCTTTTTCCATCTGTTCCTCACAGATGTGAATGAGTGTGAGACGCTACACGGGGTGTGTGGAACAGCACCATGTGAGAACGTGGAAGGCTCTTTCCTGTGCATCTGCCCCCAAGCTGGTGAAGAGTTTGACCCCATGACTGGCCGGTGCATTGCTTTGCCTGGTGCCGGTGAGAGCTGGGGGGGCTTGGAAAGGGGGGAGAGGCCTGTGGGACAGAAGGTAGGTGAACTTCAGAGGTCCTAGCTGAACAGGGAAGCCCTACAGGAGCTGCTGGGTCAGCATAGAGCACTTGCAACTGGCCCAGCATCCCATGTCTCTGGACACCCACCCAGAGAGCAGAGAGGCAGCCTTCCCAATTGGTGGCCCTTGGAGGTAGACTGCTCTGAACCCATTTCCCAAGGATTTGAGGTGGTTTTCAATGTCACACAATAACAACATAACAATTGAAAACCGTCAGGCAAGTAACTAATTAAAGTGAGCCATGATGGCAGCCCCCAAATGCTCTGTGGAATGACAGGGGAAGATGGGGCTGAGAGTATCCCTTATTTCGGGAAGCCAGACTTTAGAGGCTGCTGCTGGGAAGACGCATCCCCCCCACTACCTCAGATCAAATTGGTCAGCCAAGGCCGGGCGGGATGGGGGGGTCCTGCAGGGCTTTAAAGGTAAAAACTGACCTGTTGAACTGGAACCCCCAGCAGCAGAGCAACTGCAGGACAGGCATGATCTTGCCAGGTGGGTTGCCAGCTGCATTTTGGACCACCCGGGGCCCTCCAGCATGGGGAGGGTACACTTTGGGGGGAATGCTCTGAATGAACGGGGGGGGTTCCATCCTTCTTCTCGGTCCTACAGCTCGTCCCCCAGCCCTCCCCAGGCACCCAGATGCTGCGCAGTTGGAGAATGGTGACGGCCTGCGGCGCGAGTGCTACTATGACCCAAACACTGTCCAGGCATGTGAAGATATTCTGTCCAGGAACGCCACCCACCAGGAGTGCTGCTGTAGCCTTGGCCACGGGTGGGGCCTTGACTGCCACCTCCAGACCTGCCCCTCCTTGGAGACAGGTAAGACTGGGAGGCGGCAATGGGGGGCCTCCTGGCAGAGGCTGTGGCGCGGGTGGGGGCAGACAAAGGAACTATGGATTGGAATAGTTCTAGGAACAGAATCTCGCCCGTGCTCCCCCTACTATGAAAATATTATTATTTTGCCACTTTTAGTGACAGAGAAATGGTGAAACCATAAAAGTACCTGCTTTGTCAAAAAATGCATATAAAATGTTTTTAAATGAAAAAATACAACAAAAGAAAAAGGCATACAATATTAGCTGTAAATAGTTACAATTCTATAGGCTCATAGGTGGCATTGGGGTCTTCAGTTCTTCAGGTGAAAGGATCTCCTATCGTCATGGGAATGGGGAGGGTTTGAGGGTTTTCTCAAGTTAGTTACGTGGAATGAGCTTCAGGCTCGCTGGCCTGATGGTAACCATACAAGGGACCTTCCCACTCACCTTCAAGGCTAGCAGGGAGGGGCCATCTGTTCTTACCCCAAGCACCTGTGGAGGTCTGGGGAAAATGACAGCTTAAGATATTGCAAGCAGCCTCTAGTCTCCACTCTCTGGATGAGGCTTAGCCAGGCTTTGCTCATGACTTCCAAGAATCTAATAGGAATCGGGCAGGGAGAGAGCTGTGCTCCGAATGGGAATCGAAGTGGGTGCTGGCCTTGCATTTGGGGCACCGGGAAGGTTGCAGGTGACTTTGAGAATGCCTCTCAGCAGCCCCCCTTTGTGGGCCTTCCTGGCCCCGGCCATGGCCACCTTTCCTCTCCTCCGGAGGAACCCATCGGGCTGTTGGATGGGAGCTCCAGCAGCAGCACTGCTTGCAAAGAGTGATGGTTTTTTTTCCTGTGGCCGAGCCACTCCTGCCCCTAGACTGAGGCCAGGAAGGGGGCTGGGGGCCCTTTGGGCAGCTGCTGACAGGAGGCCTGTTTCCCTGCAGCCGAATTCCGGGCTCTGTGTCCTCACGGCAGCGGATACGCTACTGTCCTCGTCAGAAATGTCCCAGCAGTCACAGGTGTGCACATGTGGGGGTCTGGATGCGGCCAAAGTTAAATGGGGCTGGGGGCCCACATGGGTGGGGTAGGGGTCTTCACTTTTTGCCTTTATTCCCAACTTGGTGTCCCTACACAGATGTGGATGAGTGTGCCCTCTTCAGCTCCCAGGTGTGCAAGGGTGGGGTTTGTGTGAACAAGATCCCTGGCTACTCCTGCTACTGCCCCAACGGCTACTATTATGAGACGCAGCACCTGGAATGCATTGGTGAGCACTGCCCCCCCCCGGCTCCTGAGGCGCTTGTGGCCCGAGACTGACCGATGCCCTTGTCGCCCCAGATAACAATGAGTGTCTGGATGAAGAAGCTGAGCCCTGCGTGGGGGGGCACTGCATCAACACCATTGGCTCCTATTACTGCTCTTGCGCTGCTCCCCTGGTGCTGGACCCCTCCCAGCGCCGATGCGTGACCAACGAGAGCCACGGCTTGGGTTCGTATTGCCCCCCTTCTGGCCCAGCCTTGTAGGGGGGCATTGAGAGACAGATTGCAATACAAGCTTCAGTTTTTGGGGGATCACTCTGGCAATCCCTGCTCCCCCCCCCAGATGAGGACCTGGCCGTATGCTGGCAGGAGGTGGGCCCGGACCTTGTGTGCCGTCGACCCCGCCTGGACCGTCGGGTGACTTACACGGAGTGCTGCTGTCTCTATGGGGAGGCCTGGAGCATGAACTGCGCTCTGTGCCCAGCCCGGGACTCGGGTAGGTGCCTTCCTTTCCCCCAGGAGCTGGGGACATGCCCCTCCTTGCAGGCTCATGAACAGGGAAGGGGGAAGGAGCACCAGGCGCTGGGAAGGAAGAACTGCAGCAGTATTTCCGTTTCCCAGGTGTCTGAGTTATTTATGTATTTATTAAACTTTTATGCCGTCCATCCTTGTGGTTAGGAACTGGAGGCCATCTTGACCTTGGGTGGAAAGTGCTTTTTTGATGCAATAAGTTTCTGGGTGCCCCTTCAGACCCCATATTGTGTGCTGGAGATGCAGCTCTGCCAGCTGGGGTTTGCATTCTTCCTGGCCTCCCACCTCCACCCGGCTACTGGGGGTCTCCTGTCCTTTTTCTAGCTTTGTGACTCTCAATACCAAGGAGAGGCTCTGGGGAGCCTCTGTGGGGAGAGACTTGTGGGGCACTCTTTGGGACATTTCCTCTGGAGAGGATGGTCTCCTTTGCTTAACAGCCTGTCTACACCGCCCTCCTGGGGGGCCTCTGGAGAACATCTGCCCCTGCATTTAGACTGCTTTGCAAAGCTATGTCCAGTTGGTTCTAATCCCCACCCCACCCTTTTGCTTTCCCCAGATGACTTTGAGGCCCTGTGCAATGTCCTCCAGCGCCCCAGTTATAGGTTGGGGCGGCTAGGCAGCCTGGGGGCACCCTTCGAATACGGTGGAGGAGAGTTTCTGCCTTATGGCCCTGATGTCTACGATCCCCTGGCACAGCCTGGCCCTCTACTTCCCAGCTATGATGCTCTCCCTCGTGAGTCACTCTATGGACCATCCCCTTATGAGGCAGCTGGCCTGGACGATGCACCCTATAGCGATGTGCAGCTGGAGAGCCCAGCTGAGGACCCCCAGGGTGGACACCAGCCTCGTAGCCCCCCTGACTCAGACTGGCACTACCCGTCTCGTGGCCGTGGGCACTCCTATCCCGAACGGCCCAGTCGGGCCAGCGAAGACTACCGTGAGTGGGTGACAAAGGGGGAGGGGGGAGCTATCATTTGTATGTTTGCAAAACAGCACGTGCAGGTGGAAGTGGTTGTGGGCTGTGGAAGGAAGAGGGGCCTTTGGGAGAGGAAGCTTTGAGGAGGGAGAAGAAGGGTGGGGGTCTTGGGCCATGTCAGTGCAAAAGGGAAGCCTACTTGTGTCTCTTGGTCTGTTATCAGCGGGCCGTTTTGGAGGCACCGGAGGGCTTCCGGCTGAGGAGTGCGGGATCCTGAGTGGCTGTGAGAACGGCCAGTGTGTTCAGGTCGCCGACGGGTTCACCTGCTCCTGCAATGAGGGCTACCGCCTCGACCCAACCCACATGGCCTGCCGTGGTGAGGGGCCCCTTCTCCTTGCCCCCCCAGCTGCCAGGCTGAGCTTGGCTTTCCTGACCAAAGGGCGGCCTAATGCGATCTCTCTCCTCTCCACAGATATTGACGAATGCAGGGAGATGGCCAGGCTCTGCTCTGGCGGCCGCTGCCTCAACCTGGATGGCTCCTACCGCTGCCTGTGCCCCCTTGGCACTGCGCCTGCAGGGCAGCCCCCCCGCTGCCTCCACGTCCCCCGCAGCCGAGCCTGAGCTGGGGTGGGGTGGGGAATATTTATTACTTGTCCAGATGGGAACGGAGGAAGGCGGTGCAGGTGAAAGGACCCTTTGCCCACCCCTCCCCCCTCGTCCTGCAGTCCCTGGAGGAGCTGCGCAGGCGGCTAGTGCTCAGGAGAGGGGGGACTCCTCTGCTCCTGGTTAACGCCATGGGGTGAGGGGGGGTGGCCAAAAGGTTCCCAAATAGGGTTGGATCCCTCTTGCCCTTGGAAGACAGGGGCCCATCTGGCTGCCTCCCTGCCTTGTCCCGGGGAGGGTGCCTCTGACTGGAAACGTTTTCTACCCCCGTTGTCCGTGTGTGCACTGGAAGGCATGCCCCCCCATAGCCTTTCCTCATCTGCTGAAGACCCATGGAGGAGTTACCCTGCAGGGCGCTGGCAGGGGCATAGGGGCCTCTGCGCAAGTGCCAGTCCTTCTCTGGGCCCACAGCGCTTTCGCAGAGGGTACAGGAATAGGGCCGAGTCCAGGTGAGTGCCCACAAACAGACCGAGGGCAGCACGGAAGCCCATACCCCAAACATTTCCTGGGTACTTATGCCTGTCATGAGGAGAGGGGCCCTATAGCTCACCACCTCTGCTCCCCCAGCTCCCCCTCCCTTGTCGCTCCAACAGATGCTTAAACTCCCTCGCGCATCCAAAGACCCTCCCACAACCCAGATAGGGGTTGTCAGCCAGGCAGGGGGCTTTTGGGCATCATGCCAGCTGGCGGCCACAGTCACTTCTTCACTGCTGTTACTAGACCAATAAATATTTTCTATAAAAGGAGTTGAGAGACTTGGCTTCTCTAAGGAGAGACCAGCAGGAAGTACGTTCAGCCCCCCCCCCCTTGGGGACACAGGCGTTTGGTGGGCAGAGTTGGCTGGACTAACTTGGTGGGGGAAACAGCAGCACAGGCTAAGCAGCCTCCAGGGTGGCTCTGGGGTCGCACCAGCTGGAAGGGGAGGGGGCTTCTGCGGTCAAGCACTTAGAAATAACCCAAGAGCAAACCCGCCAGTTTGTCTTCTCTGACGTGACGTGTCAGTAGCAAAACCTTTTGAGAAATGGATCCTGGATGGGCCTTCACTTCCACTTTCCATATGAGGCTTTGGTATCTCAAGCCCACAGCCCCCCCCCCCACTTCCGCCTCTGCAGCTCCAGGCTTGCAAAGCTCAGCTCAGCTCAAGCCACAGCTGGAAGCAAGGATACTGGGCCACGTTGCACAGAAGGTGATGTCACTGGGGAGGGACGAAGGGCCTGGGAGCTCCAGCCTCTTAGCTGTGCTTTTTAAATACTCCCCCTTCTCCCCAGCCCATCCAAAGGCAGAGCCAGAAGCCTCTCCAAGCTCTCCTCTCCTGGCCAGAGAGCACTGCACTCCCTCCCCTGCCCTCCACAGGAGTGGATCGTCCTGCAGCCTCATTTCCCTGGTCAGGAAGGACAGAGGAGAGCAGCCAGTCTTCCCTGTGGATTAGCCCCAACTCTCACCCTGCTGCTCCTTGCTATTATCTGTTAATGGAGGAATAATGGGATGGGCCTCCTGACTGGGGGTGTGCAGGTAATTTCTCCCTCTGCCCTGGCTCAGAGGGAGGGCTGGGCTCCCCCAGGATACTCTGATGCTCTTCGGGAGGCTGCTCTGGGGGCAGGAAGACCAGGTCGGAGAGCCCGTGCAGGTCTGCCAGTTTGTGGAAGGTCTGGAGAACCAGCAGCATGGCCATGAGCCCCAGAAGCAGGTAAACTGGAAGGAGAGAAAGGAGAGTGAGCCAGAAGCAGGTCTGGAAGACAGGCGGGGCCCTTCCCTCCTCCTTGCTCTACCTGGGAATCGGGTTGCCCACCTGAGGTGGCAGGCTTGGGGTGCCCAGTGCCAACCTGCCGTCAAAACTGGCTCGGCCTTCCACTTGCTCCCGGGGCATAGTGCTACTCACCTGTAACAGAAACCTTGTAGAGGGGGCGAAGGTGTTGCCCGGGCTGCTCCCCGGGGACGTAGTCTCCCAGGCCAATGGTGCAGAGGGAGATGAAGCAGAAGTAGAAAGCATCCAGGAAGCTCCAGGACTCTTCCAGGGAACTGAAGATGGCAGCAGGCACTAAGAAGAAGGTCGCCAACACCAGGCCCATCAGCACCAACAGGTGCCCCCACGACAGGACGCGGCGGTCGGAGCCCCAGCGGAGAGCCAGGTATTCCAGAGGCCCAGAGGTGAAGGTGCCCACAAGACGCTGCACGGTGGCTGTCAGCACCAGCATGGTGAAGGGGACACCCAGCACCGCGTAGAAGATGCAGAAGGCTTTGCCAGCATTGGAGAGGGGTGTAGTGTAACCGTAGCCTGGGAGGAGGGAAGGGGGAGCGTCAGAAGCAGCAGTTGCTGTGCTGAGGCTCCGCCCTGAGCAGCACCTGGGCTCAAGGGCTCCATTGACCACACCAGCAAACAGGCTAAGCCACCCCTGGCCACGTGAGGACTCTTCGTGCCTTCACAGCATGAGCTGCTGTGGGACCCAGTTCTTATTTGGATAGCAACCTCACACAGCTTGTGGGGCAGAAGGAAGGAAAGGCAGGAGGCAGGCAGACCTCTGCCCTTCGGAAGAGAACACGGGTGCTCGGGGCTAGGTCGCTTCCTTAAAGTTAACGCTGGTACTTCTGCCCACAAGCCCAGCGCCTGCCCACATTGCCTTTCAGCTTTCCTCTCTCCAGAAAGAGACGGAGGGGGGAAATTAGCTCTTGTTTCTTCTTTTGCCACTTTTGTGGGTTCTGTAATCACAATAATTATCTTCAGATTCATTCTACATGACAGTTGTGCAATATTCATGTAACTATATTGTTAATAAAATTTTGCAGGACTTTCCTCTGTGAAAGTATTTGCTGTTAGATATAAAAAAAATAGAACATGAAATTTTACTATTTGCTGTTGGCACAAAAAGCCAAGAAATCACCTCTCACCACTGATGGAGCCTGACTGAGGAGGGCAACGGAGCCTGTTTTGCAGGGCATCTGGACCACCGTCGGCAACGGAGCCCTTCCAGGAGGGAGGATCCGCGGAGGTGGGATTCCCGAGCCAGCTGCCACCGGGCAAGGTACAAAGCGGAGCCGGGGAGGCGGGACAGTTGCTACCAGACGCAGCCAAACGAGCCTGAAAGGCGTTCTGTGGGCGGCTTGCCTGGTGCCCTGAACGCCCGAGCGGGAGACGCAGCTCCGGGCGGGTACTCAGCTAAGCCTGGCAGCTCTGTCCACACACCCTTCGGGTCAGAACGGGCTCCAGGGACCCTATGTGGCCAGGCGCACCAGCACAGAACCGCCCCGAGGCAGAGCCAGCGATCGTATGAAGTCCCCTTCTCAGCACGCTGTTTCGGCCCTCGGCAGTCCCGAGCGAGCAGCGGCCGAAGACCAGGAAGCGGCCCCAGTTGCTCACCTGCTCCAGGAGTTCTCCACCAAGAGAGCGTCTCGGAGGGTGGAGACACGGCGCCACGTCCAAGCGTGAAAAAGAGGCTGTGCCCGAGAGTTGGGCGTGGAGGGGGGGTCTCGGCCTAGGCCCCCGAACCGCGCTCTTCCCGACCCAGCCACCTTTCCAGGTTGCGGGGATCCCTCCCGACCCTTCCCCGCCCACTGCGCCCGGAATGAACCGCGGAAAGTGCAGGAAAACGGGGCCGCCTTTCCCCGAAGAAGCGCAGCCGGCCCCGACTCACCCACGGTGGTGATCAAAGTGCTGGCGAAGAAGAAGGCCGAGGCGAAATCCCAGCTGGACGTGGCAGCCGAGCCGTTGTGCAGGAGGGCTGCGGAGTGGCGGTCGGCACTCAGGACGGCGCCCAGGAAACGCTCCAGCCTGGCCTCGGACAGGCAGGGGCTGCTGCGCAGGAAGTCGCTCTTAAGATCCCACAGCTCGGCTCGCAGCCGGCTCTCGTAGGGCCGCTCGACGGCTGAGATGATCAACGCTCCGAGCAGCAGATAGCCCGCGTAGGCCAGCGCGAAGGCCGCCAACACGGCGCCGCGCCTCATAGCTCTCCCGGCGGAGCGCAGAGCCACTCGCGGCAAATAGGAGCGGAAGAAGGAGACGCCTGCAGGAGCGAAGCCGGTGTCCGCCCCGGCGACACCGCGGTCCAGCCTCTTGGGCGGCGGCCAGGCCCCTCCCGTCAGGCGGAGCCTGGACTGCCAAGAGTTGCACCTGGCAGGCGGGATCCTGGGTCGGGCGCCTCCCGGCCCAGTTCCACCCACTCCGCTCCTTCCACCGGGTGAGACGGTCAGGCGCTCAGCATCGAGTGTATGTTCGGGGGCCCTGGGCACCTCGCCCTGACGCAGGCCGACAGATGAAGGCCAACTCTTGGCCTTTCAAACTGGGCCACGCCGCTGCCCAGGAGAGAGAGATTTTGGAGAAAGCAAGGCTAGTGGGCACCAGGCAGGACTACTGGCCCAAAGACATTGTGCTTGACTGCTGCCCTTCTCCTGTCCGGTCTTGGCCTTGGTCCTTGCCACCTCGCAGAATAGCGGGGGGTGGGGTATAAAAGGAGCAGACAAAAGAGCTCGCTAGCTCCCTCCAGAGGTATTGAGGAGGGAGGCATTTCGCTCCCTTTCGAGGTTGTGGGTGTGCTCTCTGCAGGAAGCAAGTTGTTCGAAAACAGGAACTGGGGAAGAGGTGAGAGGCTTGGTGACAAGGAAGCCTGAGAACTCTGGAAGAGCCACCAGACAGAGAAAAAAGGATCCCCTGCAACTGCAGCCGGGGTGGGGAGCCAAAGGATTAGAATTCTTTATTGGCCAAGTGTGATTGGACACACAATTTGTCTCTGCTGCATAAGATGTCAGTATACATACAAGCAAAAAGTGAAGCAAAGCCCTCAACATCATCTTTTATCTTCCAACAGTAACCCTCATTTTTCATGTGGGCGAATTCAGAGTGTTCACATATCAGCTTGTGCATGAACAGCCTGTGAGACCAGAGTTCTTGCTCCACAATTGTTCCCCAATTCCGCCAGGCCCAGTGAAAGGGAGCCTATGTCTCTCTGTGCCTGTGCCACTTAGAGACCCCCAGCATGGCTCCCAGAGCCCACCAAACCACCTGAAAGTGAATCCTCCTCCCATCGGCACCCCCAAGAGGGCTGATGCAATGCACTCCCCATCCACAAGAGCTTCTTGCAGAACGCAAAGCAAGGCTCTCTCTAGCAAGAAGAGACCACCTGTGAATCTGAAGGAACAACAGCCACTGAAACCTTGGGGCATCAGCTCAGCCATGAAAGGAGGATGCCCCAGGTAATAGCCAGTCAGCACAGTGGCTGGGTTCTCAACAGCGTCAACCAAATGGCCATTTGAGGACCCAGAGAAGATGGCTACTTGAAAAATGGGGACAAAAGTCTGACCGTGGAAAGCCCGATGCAGGGCCTATTATTTATCCATTAAATGTCTAAGGCACCCAAATCTGGAATGACTTTTGGATGCTTCATATAAGAAAAGAACGGCAGTCCCTGGGGAGGGAGCAAATCCAAAAGATGGCTCTCCTGTTTCCTGGCTTAAAGGGGCCTAACCATTTACTGACCTGAGCCCTGGGAAAGGTCGGGTATTTAAGGCTCATGGAAAATTGGGAGGGGGGCATACCGATCTTGAGAGGCCAGTCCAGCAAGTAAGAAGACTGGCTTAATCAAACAAGCCAGATCTGTCAGGCTGTGCAGGATAGGCAGAGGCTGCAGCAGAGAGCTAGGCCCTACATTTGCGCTTGATAGCACCTGAGCACCCAGAAGGGTGGGGAGGGATCCCACCTGACTTGACCCTGCCGAGTGGCTGCAGGTGTTTCATTCACCCAGATCTGGGGACTTTCCACCTTTGACTTGCGTGAGGTAGCACATTCCCCCTTCAAGGTGTGCCACCGGTAGTTCTTTCTGGGCTCACAGCTTGGGTCAGTTGGGGCCAGGAAGGCCTTGCAAAACAACAAATCACAACCCTTGCTAGATTGGGGGCCCTTCAGTCACTCACGTTCTAGTCTCCTTATGCTTCACTACTGCAATGCACTGTACACCGAGCTCCCTTGAAAAGCACCCAGAAACTTCAGCTGGTTCCAGAATGCAGTGGCATGAACAGTGATGGGCCTGCCTCTACAAGCCCAGCCCTGCTTTGCAAGCTATATTGGCTGCTGGCTTACTCCCAGGCCCCATTCAAGGCGATGGGTGCTATCTATAAACTGGCTGGTTACTTGAGGGAGGAACCGCCTGTCTCCCATCATATATGCCCATCTGATTCACTCGTGCAGGGATGGGACGCTCCAGGTTTCCTTCAATGAAAACGTGCCAGCTATCAGGACCAAGAAACGGTCCTTCTGCCCTCCGGAACGAGGTTCCGCGGCTGCTCTTCAGACGCCAAGACCTGCTTTTCAGCCAGGCCTTTGGCGGGGGAGGCGATCCCGCACTTCACTGGGCTCGCCATCCTTATCTTTCATCGTCGCTGTCGGAATGCCTTGGCTCGCCTGTTGCAGCCGCGCGAAGTCGTCGCAGGGAGACCCGTCTGAGAAATTATTCTCACGGCTACTATGAACTCAGAGCCGCTCGCTGGGCCGGTTCCTCCCCTCGAGCATCTCTGGGCTGCCCAGAGCAGACCCCGAACCAGCGGGTCACACCGCCCCCCCCCCGGCAGCCCCAAAGCCCCGCGCCCCCCGCCGGCACTTCGCGCTCCCCTGTCCCCCCCAAAACTGGAACCGCCTCCGCGGTCCGGCTTGGCGCTCAGTGACATCATTGCCACGCCCAAGCGGGCGGGCCCTCGGTGACGTCGAGTGGTCTCCGGGCAACCCGCGGCCCGCTGGTCCGGAGCGACGACGCGACATCACGTGCCTCGCGTCTCTCTCGGACTGCTCATTGGCTGCGGGAGGCACGCAGGCCCGAACGCTGCGCGCAGAAGCCCCGCCCAGAGCAGCGGCTGGCGATGGAGGGCGACCCGGCGGGGGGGGCCGCGCGCGCGCGTGGGTGTCGCGGGGGCCCGGGGCCCCGGGGGCGGGGAGGGAAGGGGGGTCTCCGCGCCGCCTGACGGCCGCCCGCCTTTCCCCTCGCAGCGCCGCCCGCCGCCCCGCCGCGGCTCTCGGAGGACCCGAGCGGGCTCCCCCCGCGGCCGGACCCGCTCTCCAGCCTGGCCGCGGCCTACGGGAGCAGCCTGGCCTGGCGGGGGAGGGCGCTGGTGAGTGCCGGGCCGGCGCCGAGCATCTGTCGAGCATGTGCAAAGCGCCGCCCGCCCGCCTGACCCGGGTCTCCCCACAGGTGGAGCGACTGGTGCCGCTGCGCCGCCTGCAGTGCTACTTCGCGGTGGATACGCGGTACGTGGGGCAGAAGATGGCGCGGCTGCTCTTCCCCTTCGGGCACCAGGTGAGCGGGCGGGGGTGGCGGCGGCGGCGAGGGGAGTCCTCCCGCACCCCCTTCCCTGGCCCGCCCCTCCCTCCCTCCCTCCCTCCGTCTGTCTCTCTCGGCAGGACTGGCAGGTGCGCTACCAGCGGGGACCCCCCGTGGCGCCCCGCTTCGACGTCAACGCCCCCGACCTCTACATTCCAGGTAGGGCCCGGGCGGGGGGAGGGGCAAAGGCCGGTGCTGCAGGGCGGCCCCCTTCCTCCTCCTCCTTCCTTCCTTCCTTCCTTCCTTCTTTCCTTCCTCCGCAGCCGTGGCCTTCATCACCTACCTGCTGGTGGCCGGGCTGGCGCTGGGGATGCAGAATCGGTGAGACCAGTGGGGACACCTGAGCCAACCCGGCCCCCTCCCTGTGCCCAGAGCCCCCTCCCCACTCGCCGCTGCTTGCAGGTTCTCCCCCGACCTGTTGGGCTTGTTGGCGAGCTCGGCCCTGGCGTGGCTCATTGTGGAGGTGCTGGCCGTTCTGCTCGGCCTCTATCTTGCGGCCGTCAACACCGAGCTGACCCCGATCGACCTGGTCGCCTTCTCAGGCTACAAATACGTAGGGTGAGGAGCTTGGGACCCCTTGCATCCTGGGGGGTGGACAGGATGCGTAGCGGGGCTGACCCTCCCATCTTTTTCTCCTTGCCAGCATGATTGCAGGCCTCTTGGCAGGGCTGGTGTTCGGGAAGACTGGTTATTACACGTTGCTCGGCTGGTGCTGTGTCACCATCTTTGTCTTTACGGTAAGAGGGAGAGGCTTTACGGTAAGAGGGAGAGGCTTGTGTTCAGGGTGGATGGGTGGCCCTCCCCTCAACTTTTGTGGGTCCTTGGCCACCTGCCTGTACTGGCTTTTCCTGGTGGGCTTCTCTCATCCATCCTCCTTCTCCCAGATCCGTTCGCTGCGCCTGAAAATCCTGTCAGAGGCAACTGAAGGGGTCCCGAGGCGGGATACCCAGAACCAAGTGCGCATGTATCTGACCGTGGCTGTGGCTGTGCTGCAGCCCCTCCTCATGTACTGGCTCACCTCTCACCTCATCTAATGATGCTTTGCTCAGGCAGCTGCTTTGTGCCCCCAATGCCCACCCATCATTTCGAGCCTGTTGCCTCTCCCAGGCCACCCTGGTTACGCAGAAGGCAGAGCAGAGCAGATGGGCTTCTCTGGGCCCTAATTCACAGCTCCCTGGTCCTTCTTTGGAAGGGCCCTGGCAGTTTGCACTCCTCTCACCTTGATTTGGCTCAAGATGTCTGCTTATCCTGCCCTTTTCTGTCTCGTTCCTGTCCAGCCAGGTCGGTCACTCCTGCAGAGGAGCTGGGAAAAGAGCCTGCTTTCCCGTCTCTTCAGGATATGGAATTTCCTGCTTGCCACAAACAAAATAAAACATGGAAGGCAATGTGGTTGCTCTCTTGTCGCTTTGAGAGGGGTACTGGAAGGCATTTCTATCTCCCATGTGCCCTTCCGCAGGGGGTTGACCTGCTCTGCCATGTGCGGTCCAAAGCGGAATGGATGTGCCTTCAGCAACTTGGGAAGATGTTTGGAAAAGAGAAAGAGAAACGGTTGGGTCTCTGGTGGCAGGCAAGCCTGCTTTGCAACAGGGGCTCTGGTTCCTTCCAGGAAAGCACCAGGGAATAGCAGCCACCTTTGTCGCCTGCGCTGAATGGGCAAAGGGCAGCCTTAGCTGGGCAGGACAAGGACTTGGAGCTGCTGGCGTCCTCCGAAGCCTCTGGGCTGGTGCCACAGCCGCACTTCTTGGCCAGTAGCACCCCCCCCCCCAGTGCTAAAGCATTCATTGCACACAAGTTTAGTTACTTTTATTCAGAGTCCATTCATTACTAAAAACACAATTATAAGAGTCCCACAAGATTTAATACAATCAAGTTTTGATTTGTTTTTAAAAAAAGTATAAAAACTCATTTAAAGCTGGTTATGTAGAAGCTTGCTCAGTGAGATGCCTCTGCAGCTGCTCTCGCTGGGGCGCTCTTGAAAGTCCCTCAGACTAGAAACACAGCCTTTCCCGGCAAGAAGGGACGCATGCAATGGAACTGCCGGCAGCCGCAGCCGCAGCCAACGGTGCAATCCAACGCCTTTGGTTGCCTCAGTGCCAGGGAAGGATCCCCCCTCCAGCTCCCCCGTTTCCTTGCAAAGCCAGAAGAATTAAGGTTTGAAGTGGGCCTATGAGCCAAAGATGGCCTCATCTGGGAAGGTTTGGGTAAAACAGTCCATACTGGCCAACTGCTGAGCCTCAACAGCTGCAGCTGGTGGCACCTGATAATCTCAAGAAAGGAGTCTGGCACACTGGAGAGCAAAACTGGGCAGCCTCCACAAAGGAAGGGGGAGAGGCACTGCAGGGAAGGTCCTGGAGAAGCGCTGAGCTTAAGGCATGCCCAAGGCCCCCTGCCCAGACAAAGGGGGTGGGACATACTGGCTGTTGGACAGGGTCCTTATACCTTGCCTTTTTCCCTTCCTGGCCCCCAGATTGGGGGCTCTTTGGCCACTACACCGGCTTAGCCATATTTGGGACACTTGGCACTCCTCGCTGGTGTCCCCAGGGAAATGGGATTTGGCAGGGCCCTTGTGGAAGCTGCTGCAGAAGCACCAGCAGGGTCTGCTTTACGCAGCCTGCTCTTCCACAACCTCCCCGGGAAATGCATGGCTGTGGTGATGTGGTAGGCAGCCCAGCGCAGCTTGAGGGAGGCCAGTACCTCTGGATCTCAGGTGGAGGCATTCTGCGGAAGCACAGGGGTGTGAACACCCCAAAAGTGTTTCCCTCCTCCTGAAGAAAAATGGCTTCAGCAGCCCCGCCACCCCTTGTTTCCCCAACAGAATCAACGTGTGCAGGGCCCAGGCCCGCCCACCAGAACTGCCTCTGCTGGACTCTCGGCCAAAGGAATCACCGGTGGTTCTGGCTGGGGATTCCCAGCTGCTTTCCCATGGCATGGAGAGGACCCAAGTGGGGCAGGGCTTTGTAGAGACCATTCACCAGAGGAAGGCGGGGGGGGGGGCTGTGGGTCAAGCGAGGAGGAGTCATCGCTAGCTCTGAAGGTGGGGGATACTGCCTGCAGCTCCTCCTGGACCCCTGTGGAGCAGGAGGATGCATATCGGCTGCAAAGGGTGGCGTTCCCAGGGAAAGGGGTGTTGCCCTACGAAGGCCGGCAAGGCAAAGCCGCCAGCTGCAGTATTTACATGCTGCTACGGTTCTCACTGAGGCAGCTCTCTCACTCAGAGGCTGTAGGCGTTACTCATCAGGTACTCTTTGTCATCCAGTGTGCTCCACACCGTTCCCACCGACAGCTCCGGGTTCTTCCGGCAGATCTTGACAAAGAAAACCACCATCGAGCCCAGCAGGATGGTCACCAGGATGGCCAGAAGGACTGCAAGGACCACAGCTGGGGAAGAGAAAGAGGCAGTGCGTCAGGCGCAGGGAAGGGAAGGGGCTTTGCCTTCACGAAGGCCGGCCGGGGAGCCTCCCTGCTTCCCACTTGGCTGGCAAGGCAACTGGTACGGCTTGGGCCTCCTTATCCAGAAGGAGAGGTTTTCAACCAAGGGCTGGAGAGAAGGGAACATGCACATGATGGGGTCTCCACCAGGACTGGAGGAGTTGTGGCAGCACAACGAGGGAGTCCTTGATTGGCCAGCATCCCCTCCCTCCTCAGGAGAACCGCTGCGGAGCTCTTGTGCCAGCAGCACCAAGAACAACTCTGCCAAGATACCCCAGAAAGCCCAGCCCCCTCCTGGATTGAGCTGGCCATTAAGCCGAGGTGCAGCATGAGATCCCACTTCCCTCCCAGATGAGGATTAGCTACGCACCTCTGGTGGAAAAGCTGAAGGGTTCGGGCAGGAGGCGAGGATGTGCACCTGCGTCTCCTGGCTCTTCTGTTATCTCTGAAGACAAAGAGAAACCGGTGACAAGGGGCAGGGCACAGGGGAGTTTGGGGAGCCCTGCTGCCCTTTTGGGGGTCGCTGGGGAAGCTTGGACTTTTCTAAACCATGTTGGGGTGGGAGGGCGTGCCAGCTGCTCTGGGAAGGGCGGCAGGTGTTACCTCCATCACCTCTGCACTGGCTCCAGCAGTGCTCCTCAAAGAGATAGTTGTTCTTGTTGCCACGGCAGCCCCCATAGACGAACGTCTTGCACGTCCGGCTCTCTAGGTCGAAGTACCAGCGGTGGAAGGAGGCCCGGCAGGGACCCACCACCCGGGGCGCAGCACAGAATTCTAGGAGGAAAGAGATGGATCAGAGAGCCCCCTGGAGGGAAGAGGACAGTCCAGGGCCCAGGGAAGGAAGGGTCCCTCTTACCTCTGAAGCCAGGCCTGTTTTCATAGGCCTCTGGGTGACGTCCGCCTTTTGATGTAGCCACTGGGGAGAAAGCAGAGCTGTTGGCCAGAGGCTGAAGACCAATGGTCATCCTTGGCAAAAGTTGACTCTTCCCAGCCACTCCCCCCCTTCCCAACCCTGAGCACTCCTAAGGTGCACTCCAAAGGTCCCAGAGGCCCATCTGCCCCACTCTCCAAAAGGCAGCCATTGCCAAGCAGAGGGTAAGACTCAACTTGCAGGAAGACCTCAGGTGCTCTCTGGCTTTGGAGGCTGTAGAAAACAGCCCCTCGCAGAGAATTTGGCCACCGGCAGCATTATTAAGGGGCTACAGATTGTCGAAGACCCTGGTCTCCAGCCCACCCGAGCTCTGGGAGCAGTTGCTCGAGCTCCCAATTTCTATTTTTTATTAACAAATATTTTATTGAGTTTTTTAAGGGTAACAAGGGATTAGGGTCAACAGAGGTAGAACAAAGGGAGACATACAAAAGGGTTAAACCAAAGGAAGGGGGTAAACACAAAAGTGGGATCAATCCCACAAAATAACTTCGCTTCAGCAAGTAAACCTGTCCGGGTATACATATTAAATCTTAATAATTACTCTAGTATTAAACAGCTTTCAATATAGTCATGTAAATAACAAGTTAATCAATATATCTCATTCATTTTACTAATTAACAATGCTTAATACTAATTAGTTGTAATAACTTTAACATAATATATTACTTATTGGTTATAATTTACTATATATCACAAATACGAAAAAAAAGAAAAAAAACCAAAAGACAAGTTCATACAAATAATCATGAAATATAAATACAAATTATCAATTATCTCTTTAAGTTTCATAACCTTTTCTCATTCTATCGTATTGCTAACCATTGGTAAAAATTTTCCCATGTTTTAAAATAAATTGTATCTTCTTTCTCTTTCATTTCTAAAGTTAATCTATCCATTTCTGCACATTCAACTATTTTTGTTATTATAATCTGATCAGATGGTAAATTTTCATTTTTCCAAAATTGGGCAAATGTTATTCTCGCGGCTGTTAACACATGTAATATTAAATACTCATTCTCTTTTCCAGAATTCAAGCCTAATATTCCTAGCAAACAGAGTTCTGGTTTAAATTCTATCTGTATTTTAATCATCTTTTCTAGCCACATATGAATCTTAAAACCAAAATTTCTTAGCATTAGGGCATATTCACTAGAGATGGTAATAAGTGCCTGGTTGTTGTTTACATTTCCAACACATATTTGATACATTTTTAAACATTTTATCTAATCTAACTGGTGTCATGTGCCATCTATAAAACATTTTATATAAATTTTCATGTGCAGCTGCTCTAGTAAGTTTAAAGTTCGGTCCCATAGTTTTTGCCAATCTTCTAAATCTATAGAATAACCAAAATTCTTTGCCCACACAGCTCGAGCTCCCAATTTCTGACCATTCTTCTAACCTCACGCATGAACCCGAGAGCCTTACTTTCAGTGGCTGGCCCACCAGGTACCACTGTTGCCTCTACGCTTCCACCTGGAAGTCAAGACAATTCCGGCATCAGATATCCAGCGCAATGGTCTTCTGGATGCAGGCCCACCAAAGGGCTTGGCCTGACCTGGATCTCTCCCTCATGCCCAGACGGAGGAGCCTCGGACAGACTCCCCTGGGGAGATCTCAGCCTCCGTTTGGCTACTGCTCTATGTTAGTGTTAAGATTTAAGCTGCATTCCTGATGGTGACCCAGAGCACATCCCTTGCCCGGAACCAACTGGGGATGCCAGGTCGTGGGAACTCCCACTTCTAGCACAAGGTGCTGTATTGCTCTGAAGGCAGGAGAAACGCTGCAAGCTGCTGGCTCTCAAGGCTGAGAATTTGGGTGTAGCGTAAGCCATGAAGCACGAAGGGGAGAAAGGCAGCAGGAGCATTATGCCCCTTGTAGTGGCAGGAATTCCTGGCCATAGGAAAAAAGGAAAGCAGCAGCAAACTTTGTGTTCACAAATACTTTGCCTCAAATCTCTCTGGCAAATCTCTGTGACATGCTCACCTGTGGGGGGGGGTCTGTGGTGCTCTCTGCACTGGATGGTTTTCTTGCAGACATTTTATTACCCAACTAGGTAACATCATCAGTTGCTAGTCTAGCATTAACATCAGATTAGCACTGATGATGTTACCTAGTTTGAGTAATGAAATGTCTTCAGGAAAACCACCAAGCTCAGGGAGCACCAAGGATCCTCATTTCAACCCTGAGCTACAAATATTCTCCTTTATTGATGCTCACCTTTGGCACATGTCTGGAAGCAGTCCTGTTCGGAGACGAAGTTGTTGAGATTGCCTTTGCAACCCCCAAAAATGAATTCCTGGCATGTCTGGCTTGTGGCATTGTACCACCACCGATGGAAGGATGCCCGACAAGGGCCCACCACCTTGGACAAATGGCATTGGTCTGAAAGCAGAGAGAGGTTCATGGGAGGAGGCAGCCTCAGAGGCCGGTGGCCTCCACAGCTCAAATATTGTTCTGATGGCATTTAGGGCCACTGCCACGCTCAGCTGCTGCCCACTCAGGGTGCCAACTCCCCCGGATTGGTCTGGAAAGGCAAGTAGGATTGTGAACCACCAGAAGTTATGAATGGGATGCTGAACTTGGACCAGCGGGATCCTTCATCCCCTCTGCCTCAGAAGGCTGATCTTGAAGAGATAAATTTGGGATACCTCCTTTGTAAGTCAACTTGCCTTAATAAAGCAGTCACAGTGGTCCTTTATCTGGGGGGGGATAGCATTCAAAATTCAAACTCTGAAACTTTTCCCTTGGCTTTTTTGCAAATGTACACTTTCATGTATCGGTAGGGCCGGCATAGTTATCCTACATTTTTATTCTCTTTTTGAAGATTTAAAGTATTTTCCTAATTCTAGAGTTGATTGTAGGAAACTGTTCTAGTGGAAGGTCCTTATCTGTGCATGTGACCATTTGTCCCAGGAGACTGGAAAACAACTTCTTTGCAAAAAAAACAGTTGTTGTTGTGGGGGGGGGAAACGAGTGGGAAGACCACAGTATCCTAAGACTCAGGGTTCCACCACTGGTAAAATTGGCTGGCCCCTCTGCAGAGACGGCTAAGGAAAGGAAGGCTGCCTCCCTGGATCACCTTCCTCGCCCACCAGCATAAGCAAGTCCCACAGGATTCTGACCACAGGATGGTCCGCTTGTGCCACAGCTGCAGTTTAGATTTTCCAGCAACCTGGCATGGCCCCATTTCCCCATTGTGTAGCTGGGAGACGGAGGGATTTTGGAGAAGGAAAGCTGAAGCAGGCCAGGCTCAAATGCACCTCTTCTGGCTGATGTCCTGCCAAAACCCTTTTTCCAAGGTCTAAATCTCAAGTCTTGCAAACAGTGCCTGGGCTGATTCCTCTCCCCCCCCCCCAGTGACTCACAAAAGAAAATGAGATCAGAACCCCCTAGTTACCTTTTGGAATTGCAGGGAAATAAAATCTGCAGGAGGAGCAATTTCCCCAAAAGTGGGGAAAGGTAACCTATGCACCTGGAAAGAAGAGAGGGCTGTGGTGGTGGTGGGGAGGTATTTAGAGAACAGAGGAGAATCTCATTCCACCACATGTGTTGCTTGGCGTGGGATTTATCACACTGTAACTACAGTTCTCTAGGCCTTTTCACTGTGAGATGCATACGAAACCTCTGTCTGTAACCTCACTCGTTTTAGGACAGAGCCCAAACTGAAAAGGGTCCAAATGCACCTTGGATTAATTTGAAAGCCTCCTTAACTTGCATTGAGTTTGAAGCTTCAGGCATACCAGTATAACCACGTTATGGCTATAAGATCCTCCAGTTTATGACTGACCTGAAGGAAATTTTGCAAGGGGCTAAGCCAGCCATTTTTCAGATGAACAGAATTAGAGATTTTGTGCAGAAAGAACTGGGCAGATCGTGAGCTTCAAAAAAGGAAGCCCTTAATTTCCTGCTTTGCTCCCCTCTTGCCATATTTGTGGCCCCAGGATCCCATCCAGATTGCTGCTGGCAAGGAGCCAACAGATTGGCCCACCAAAACCTCCCACAGCAAGAGGAAGTGCGGCGGGGAAGAACCTCCGCTCCTGACTGCAGAGGGAGGATTCTACTTCCTCCTCCTCCTCCTTGTTGCCCCAAGTTTGAGGCCTGCCCTGTGGCTACTTGGCCCTTGTAAAAAAAGGCAGCTGACAGCACCCACTGCCCCCCTTTGCTGGTCCAAGGGCACAGAGGCAATGCCAGCAGGGCCAGAGGCTGGACTGGTGTGGCAGGAGCCTTTGCTTAAAGGACGTCCAGTTGGCACCGGCTTCCTCCAGCAGACCATCACAGGGAGCCAGGTGACTCAGGCACAGGTTGCAGACCTCACCCGAACAGGCTGAACCGGTTCAGGGCTGCTTGGCCCATCCCACCCGATCAGATTTCACTGAACATCCTCCCATCCGTGGGAGTTCATCAGAAGGGCAAGCACCCCCCCCCCCCGCCCTGCTGGCTCCGGTCCAGGAAGATGCTTTCTTGTGCCCCCAACCCTGCCAGAAGAAAAGAACCCCTAGTGGGGGATTCAGCAGGACAACACAACCACTGGGTGCCTAAAGCCCCGATGGGTACAAGAGAGGCCTGGCGTCTCCTGTGTCTGGCAACGCCCGCTCTCTAGCAAAGTAGGACAACGTCTGGCGAGCACTCCAGAACGGGCTTCGGAAGCGCATCCACCCGCCGAGGGGAGCTACAAGGCTGGGGCCTGCTTGGCCGGGCAGAAAGGAGGCCCTCATCCCCCAGACCCAGCAGCCAAACGTGGCTGGGAAAGACGCGGGGGAGGGGGGAGGGAGAGGCGAGGGTTGGCTTTCTCTTCTCCTTCCCCTGCACCCCCCTCCCGGACTTGGGACCCCCGACAACGGGGCAGGGAACGGGGGGGAGGGCTAAAGCGAGTCGCAGCCGGCCGATCTTTTCGGGTGGGGCACGTCAAGACCAGCCTGCGCTGTAGAGACCTGACGTAGCGCCCTCGAGAGGGACAGGGCGTTGGCACCGGTCCGGATACAGCGCAACGATCCGCAACCAAGACTGGCCGCCGTTTCTGAGGTAACCAAGGGACGGGCAGGAGAGCAGCACCGGGCCGCGATTTCTTACCGGGCAGCGTCTCTGCGGCCGCCAGCGCAGCCGCCAACGTGATCAACAGCGCCAGACTCTTCTCTCGCCTCATCGTTCCGCCCTCCCGGACAAAGCTGCCCGCTGGGCCGCAACTGCCGCCGAACCCCGCAGGTGAGCCACGCCCATCGCATTCCGGGCGCCAATCACGGGGGCCGACGTCTGTCGCCATCGCACCTGTCTGGAGGGCGGGTAGGGCGGCCCACCTATTTTGCATAGGCTGCGTAGCAAACACGTGATGGTGGAACTCCCCACCGGTTGCAAAGTGGGAAAGTCCCGGATGGAGAAACCTGCAAGGTGAAGGCGGAAGATTCGGCAGGTGCAGTCGGGGCGGGACTACGGTCAGGTCCGCTGCTCCTGGTTCCCTCTCCCGCCGCACAGAACCCTCGCGGGATGCCTAGTTCCGGGATGGCTTCGGTGGGAACCCTTATCCCCTTTTCGTTTCTCCGCCGCCGCCGGTTCCATCCTCCGACTTGGGAAGAGGGTGCTGGGATCGGCCCAGGACCCGGAGTAGAAGCGGGAGCCCCTTTCCCTTCCCCCCTTTCCCCCTCCATCTTCAGCATTCCAGCCTACCATTTGCCGAGGCGCGGGTTGGGGGCTCCCGCAGCCCCCTATCGCGCTCGGAAAGCCGCTCTGTTGGAAGCGCGACACGGTCAGGGGGGGCAGCGCTTGCCTTAGCCCCGACCGCGGGGAGACTTCCTGAAGAAGTCATACCTCTTGGGAGTTTCGGGGGGGGGGTCGTTTCACTGAACGTACTTGCATAATGACTTGGCTATTATAGAACGGCCAAGGCTGGGGACTCGAAGGAAGGGGCCCCTGGCCGTCCCGCTGGGGCCGAGACAGCGGGCCGATGAAGCCTCTCTAGAACGCTGCGGCCGCGTTCTCAGCCTGAGTCCGAATCAAACGATCCGCGCAGAGCAGCGTGGCTTGCCCTCTCCCCTGCCCTGTCTGGCGGCAGGAACTCGAAGGGGCAAACTCCGACTTTTCCCAGAGGTGGGTCCAGAGGCGGGTGAGGACAATCGAAGGCGAGGACTTCGTAGGCCGGCTTCTTCGGAGAGAAGGGCCGGGCTGGCCACACATTAAAAAGGCGTGGGGGGGAGGCCTAACAGATGGCGGAATGCCGGGCCCAAATCTTACTAACCGGCGTTACTTCAGAAAACGTTAAAAGGGCGAGGAGGGGGAAGAGGTCAGGCGACCGCGCATTGCTGTAAGGCGATTAGAGCCCGAGGTCGCTGAGGCCCCTTCCCGGTAGCAGCACAGAAGGATCAGCTCCGGAAAAGGGAGGCCCGCGAAGTTGTTCGGCTCCTGTCTTCGAGCCTCATCTCTCAGGGAGGTCCGCAAGAATGGCCGGGAGACCGGTGGGGCCCCGCCTCTGGCTCAGAGCAAGACGGCCCCCCACCCCGAGGGAGGGTCTGGAAGCCAGAGCTCCGCCCCGGCTGCTATAAGGCGCGGGAAGCCGGCGGACTCGCCGTCTATTGGGGAACGAACGATGGCGGCGGATCGGGTGGGGAGGCGCTTGGGGCGGGCGTCGCCGGCCCGCTCTACCGGCCTCTCTCCCGGAGGCAGCCGCGCGGAACGGACAGCCAGCCCAGGCATCCAGAGGCGCCAAGCGCGGGTCACGGTTAAGTATGACCGACGGGAGCTGCAGCGGCGCCTTGACACGGAAAAGTGGATCGACGGCCGGCTGGAGGAGCTGTACCGAGGACGGGTGAGGGGGACGCCGGGCTGAGCGAGAGGATTCGCGGTCTTGTCCTTCGGGGGGATGCTTCCGCCCCCCTCCCGCGCGTCCAGACTGCCCGCCTGGGACGGAGCAACTCTTGTGGCCAAAGGCAGCTGCGGCCTCGTTCAGTTTCCTGGCCTGCTGGAAGAGAGCCGGCCTTCAATGCTGAACTGGTTCCTCGAGGCCATGAGGGGGTTAACGTTAAGGCTGCTTGGGACCCCCTCCCCTCCCTCCCTCCCTCCCAACTGCTAGTGCTCCTGGGGGGACTGGGGAGCCATCTGCCTTGTTGGGAGGCACATCTGTGGGGGTTGCCTACCTTTAAGGCTGCCAGGAGGCGCTTTAATTGCAGCAGCTCGCAGCCCTTCCGGTGAGCGGTCTTGGTCCAGCCTTGCATTGAGCAGGGTGGTTGCTGCTAGTTTTGCTCAGTGTGATTTTAAGGCTCAGGAGATTGAAGGTTGCTGGTGGTTCTGGGCCAGGAGAGGGGAAGCTGCCCTCGGAAATAGAAGGGACTGGGGGCTGTCACCTTTGGTCACCCATTCAGGGGTCTTTCCAGGAACCAGATATTTGCGCCCTGGCTTTTCCTGGGATCTCAAGGACAAATTCAGAAATGCCCTCCTCAATCAATACATGGGAAGACCCTGTGTGGGCTGTGGAGCAGGCAAGACTGAGCAAGAGATCAACTTCCATCAAATTCAGGCTGGAATCCCCAGCTCCAAGGTTCTTTCTGGCCCCAGGGCACCTTGGCTTGGAAATGAGGCCAACCTGGCCAGGGCAGATGGGCTTGCAGAGGAGGGTCTCCTCGTCCTCCTCCTCCTCCTCCTCCTCTTTCTAGGGAGGAATGTGCATCTCCCGCCTCCGGATGCTGACATTTTCCTTGCCTAGAAAGGATTCCTCGGGGTGGGGGTGGGGAGCCTGGCCTAGCTATAAAAGAGACATCTCCAATCCTCCCATGAAAGGAGCGAGAGTTACCATCTGGCTTGCTTTTTTGCCTCCCCAGGGAGTCTGGGAGGGGAGCAGCTCAGCTGGCAGGCCAGCTCTTCTGAGGGAAGCAAGCCCTGGGCAGCGGTAGACTGTTGCTCCCATTCAGGGGCTTCTTGGTGCAAGGGGCAGCAGTGGCTGTGACTCTCCTCTTTCCCCCTGCACACTTTTCAGGGAGGTTGCAGAGAAAGGTTTTTGCACCGGAGACTTTTACAAAGAGACTGGACAGCCATTTGCCTGGAATGCTTGAGCAGAGAGTTGGACCAGAAGACCTCCAAGGTCCCTCCCAGCTCTGTTATTCTGTTAAGGGGTACAGATGGAACCAGGCTTTTCAAACTGGATCAATTACTTATCACGTGGTGGGAAGACGGGAGCAACGGCCTAGGAGTATTTATGCTCCCAGGAAAAGCAGCAGCTACATCTCTGGGATGTTGTAGGGGTGAGATGCTCCTCCTCTTGCCTAAAAAGGGGGATGCGGGTGGCCCTGCGTTTTGGAAGCTTTGGAAGCTTTGTCGTTCCAGATGTTTTCAAACTAGGAAATGTGTCACCGAAGGAAGAGCTGTGCAAGTCGGAGAGCCTGGGCTATTGTTAAAAAGCCTCCCTCTTGTGAGACCTCATAACTCATGTTCATAACTCTTGTCCGGATGTTACCGTGTTCCAAGCCCTTTAGCCTGACTTGATCTTGTGGCAGGAAGACGAGATGCCAGATGAAGTCAATATTGATGATCTCCTGGAGATGGACACAGATGAGGAAAGGGCAAAGAAGTTACAGGTAAGCTGCCTTCACATTACCAGGTCTGCTGACTCACAAGGCAGGAATCCTGAATTGGCACCCTTGACTGGATCCTATCAGCAAGAGTGGAAGGAAGGCAAAAAAGTTCAGATTTGAGTTTATAAACCCGGCAGGGACAGAGCAAGCAGCGGAGTGTACAGGGAGCTCTTATGCAGATGTGCACAAATTCTGAAGACGTTGCTGCTCTAAGAGGTGAAGCTCTTTTCCTGAACCAAATGATCAAATGATCCTTCATGCTCATTAGCAAAATGCTGGTGCTAATTTCTGAGCACTGAGAATGAGGCATAGATTCATCTCACTCCGCACTATTTATTAATAAGCATACCTGATGTGGAGTTAGCCTAGGCCATGCCATTTTGTTAATAAATAGAAATTAGGATGTGAACAGGATAAGAAAAGGGAACTGGGGATCTAAGGGTTCACTACAGAAGAGAAGGCCCAGGGAATCTGAGCCATGGGGAGAGATTTTCCTGGTTTAGTTCAAGAATAAACCTGGGAAAGGGGCTGGAAATGAAAAGGGCTGGACGAATAAATGCTGGATCCCCCATCCTTTGGGGCTGTTCCTCACTGTAACTTTTTTCTAGGGCACCTTGGAGTCATGCCACAACAACATAGAGGTGGGTGTCCACTTTCTGAGCACCAGCAATTGCTGGCTTTGATCTGGGTCCTGTGGAACATATATGCCTGCCAAGGGTAGGGTTTGCTTTCCCCAAGAGATGTCCCACTTCCAGCTGCTGTGTAATAGTTGAGGAAAGGCTCCCTTTCATCCTTTGGGCTCCCCAGCCTTCCTCCCACCCCATGACTCCCTGAGGAGGCTCCCTTGCAATACCTGGGGATCTGGTTGCTCTTGGTCTGATCCTGGGAGTCCCTACTGGAGGGAGATCCCTTTTCTGGCAGGGTTCCCCCAGTGCCAGACATCAACTTCACCTTACTGGAGAAGGATGGTAGGACTCAACCTCCTCCCCCCCCCCCAGGACTTCACCAGAGAGTTGCTGGAGAAGCTGAGAGGCCTCCGAACTGAACATGTTCTCCGTCGGACAAGTCCCAGCAGCCAGAGGAACATGGAGCAGGACCCCAAAGTCCCACAGTGACCGTGATGCTGGAGAATTGCTGAGCTGCTGGAAGAACTTGCTGCTGTCTCCCTGCCTACACTAGGATGGACTGGCTCCATGGTCTGCAGGGCGCTGGCCTCAACCACCTCCACCCTGCTGGGAAGGTCTCCCTGGCCCTTTTGAACTTCTCCCCTTTCTGGTGGATGGCAGGCTCTGCTGGGCCCCCTCCCCACAATAAAGTGCTCTGTCCCCCAGAAGCTCAACTGTTGCCTATGCCAGAGAGGTGGGGGAGGTGGAGCCTTATGATGATTGGGACCCTTGTGGGGGAGAACTTGGCCAGGATCGGGTTTGCCCCCTGTGAAGCTCTCTGTACGTTTGTGGCCATCACCCAAAAGCTGCGCCTGTGTTTGCATGCTCTTGGCTAGGTTTTCTCTGGCTGGGCACATTTGGCACAGTCTGCCTGATTGTCCAGGGCCATGAAAACTCAGAAATGGTTTCCTTGGCCAATCCATTCCTCAGCAGTCACCCTGTAGCTGGTGGTGAAGGCAACAGGCTATACTCGTCTCACAGCGGTGACCCCAGCCAGCCTTTCCCCATTTCGGACAACCCCCTCAGTCAGACAGAGGCCTCCTCCCCTCCCAGCTGGGACCCAGAGGGGGATTGTTACTTTCTGGGTTAGAAGCTGCTTCAGGAGACCAGGAGCACTTTGCGCTTCCTCCTTGCCTGGAGGTCTGCATGGTCCGCCAGCAGGTGGGGGGGATCCCACATGTTCAGCCCACCTGCCTGCAACTGGGCCTGCGGCAGCCCACTCAATCCAGTCCTCCCTCGAGCCTCTGGATCCCCCAGCATTATCTGGCTATAGAAGGGTTTCTCCCAGGCCCCACAGATGTCTGTGCGCATATGGCTCCCCACGTGCCCACCCTTCTTGCCATTACTGTCTCTGCGAGTCAATCTGTGCCAGCTACTGCCTGCCTCAGTCCAAGCAGGCGGGGGGGGGGAGATCCTTTCCCCAGGGAAGAGGCTTGCAAAGGGAAGCCAGGCCAGGCCCTCCCTCCTCCCATGGCTGGTCCAGCAGACACTGAAGCCACTGAAGCCCTTATTTGGGAACAGGCAGAAGCTGGAGAGGGGAGGGACTTGCCAGAGCCCTGGGCGGCCAGCTCAGCTTGGCCCTTGTGGCCTCCTGTGGCCTAGAGATGCCCACAGCCTCCCCCCTCAAGAAAGGGCTTTTTCTCCAGAGGGGTTGGCATGAGGGGGAGTGCTGGATAAGGGCAGGAAGGGGGGTGCAGTCTGCATTGGGGGCTCCTTTTCAGGGCCTGCTATGGCAAATGACTTTTTCCTCAATTCTTCCTCCTCTTCAAAAAGATTCTTATTGAAATTTTGAAAGAGAAATACTCCCCCCATATAAACCCCCACAGCATACAAAACACAGCCATCTACTTAATGTATGTTAAAATATTATTCCCCCAAAAAACCAACCCCAAATTAGGCACAAAACATCAAAACTTTAATCCCAATCTGCATATAATGTTAATTGTATAATGTGCAATCGTAAAGTTAACATTGAATTAACTCACTTCATTGTCTTTTACACTTGATTGTTTTATAGTGAAGTGAATTAATGTTTAGTGTCCGAATACAATGAGATTAAGTTTGTGTGTGTGTGTATAAATACATTTAGGTCAAACATAATTGTTTAGTTTTGCAGATGTTATGATTTATTCTTATGTGCTGTTGGGCACCCAGAGTTGCTGTGGTGAGAATCAAATAAACGAGTGGCCCGAGCATGTTCAGCATATTCAGGGAAGGATAGAGTGAGTTTGTTCCACAGATCAGTCTTGAGCCAAAATAGAACAAAGCCCCAAATCACCAACTGCAGCCTTGGGCGTTTGGGCTGTTGCCATTCTCCTGCTCTTTACCTCTTACTCCAGACCCCCAGTTTGGTGACTTCTCTGGCACTGCGGGTGGGGGCACTTTGCAAATTAAAAGTCCGTGCTCTGGCCTTGCCAAGCCTGCCCTGCCTGGCCCTGGACCTTGTGGCATTCCTGTCGTGGCAAAGGCTTAACGGGAAGGGCCATGCTGACTCCTCATGCTCCTGTGGTCAAGAGCAGACACCATCCATTTTCTCCTGGTTTGCCAGATCCTTGCTTTCCCTTTCCTGTAAGATCCCAGACCCCAAACAGGTTCACTGCCTACTGGAAAAAGAGCCTTTCCACTCTTGCTCCCCAGGCTGTCCCTGGTTTCATCTGCAAAATGCGATCCTCCTGGTGACTAAAACCATCTTTGCTCACTTCCGGATTCAGGAGCAATTCACAACCAGTAACAGTGGCCTTTGTTGCCCTGTGAGACACATGGGCAAAAGCCTGAGTGCTGTCATTCTAAGGGAGCAAAAAAGGAGCCAGGAGGCCAAGCTTTGCCTTGCCATATTAGGGTTATTGGCAGTCTGTAGACAGCAGGGAGGCATCGCAGTCCCAAAGGGATCTCTTGCCAAAACTGATTTCAGGTTGATTGGGCCCCAATTAACCTTTGGGATCTGCTTCTCTTGAGTTACAGCAGGAACCACCAATTGAAACTGGTAGCTTCCCCTGGTCTATATACCATGCAGCGAGCCTTTCCCCGGCTTCAAAGGCAGGCAACTGGTGCGCTTGGGAAGACCCCTGCCCTTCTGCCAGATGGGGGCCTCTCACCTGCTTAGGCTCTGGCAACTGGGGCAGTGGGGCCTGTGAGCTGATCCAGCACAGCAATTCCAGGGTTGCTGGGATGATTTTCTTACAGCTGTGCGAAGACCTGGGGCCTGCCTTGCCTTTGGTGCAAATGGCTTTGCAGAATCCACTCATCTAAATCAGCTATAATGTTAATTAAGTGCAACCACCTATTCTCTAACTGACCTGGCTGTCTTTGCTGCCAAAGAAGGGCCAGCTGATGCCACTAGAAAGTGACTTTGACCCAGGACCTTGGGATGGTCCTGACCTTTGCTCATGCCAACCTTCTGTGGCTTTGGAGAGCAAACTGAAGGTGTGCAAATGGGCACACAGACCCCGCTGTGCTTGAGCACCTCTCTTCTACCTCACCTGCTGCAGGGCCCAAGGCCCTAGGAGTGCCTGGGAGGACCTTTCAATGGTACCTGTGATGTCCCCAGGGGTTCTGCTTGCCTCCTGCTGCTCCCCAGCCTCTTCCCCTTCTTGCCTGAGCAGAAGGAAAAGAGGTGCTGAGGAGAACCAGGGAGCTCCTATGCTGGGCCAAGAAAGGGGAGGCGGCCTTGCTCCACCCACCCTTGGAAGGTAATCCCTTGTCCCAACCACAACACAATCTCACTTTGGCTCAGTCCCACCTACTGCCCTTCCTCCCTTCTTCCCCACTCTGAATTGGTGCATAGCCATATGTTCCCGGGTGGGTTAGAGTATTGGGTGTTTCCTTTGCTGTCTTTTCATGACCTTACAACCATGGGTCTGCAAGTGGCCAGAGAGAGCGGGGCCATCTGCACGTCTTCACAATTGCTACTGTCCCCTTCAACAAAAGAGCTCATGTGCTTTCCACCCCCAGCCTGTGAGCCATAGCCAAAGGAGCTTGCCCTTCCACCTCAGAGCAAAATTGTGCCCCGATTACAGTGCAAGCTGTCTGAAAGAGCCCCCTTCCCAAATTATCTCCTGCTACCCAAAACCAAGAGATGTGTGGCAGCAATTTTTCAGACTAGCATGTGTAATTAAAAGTAACCAGCTTTTGTGAGTTAGTTTTCTTCATCAGATACATAAAGTCTCCATGTGCTCGTCTGAAAATCCTACTAGAGGGCAGACTAGAGACTAACATATACAGTATTTTCGTCTCCTACCTCTTCTAAAAGTGCTTTGGGATGTGCCTGAGGCAGGCCGGGAATTTCCATCACTTTTTTTCTAAATTGATTTCAGCAATGCTAATAAAGGAAACGAGGGTCATATAAATTAGTGGGGTTTTTTAGCTTCCCGGTTCAAGGGGACAGGTATGTTAGTGATGAAGATAGACCACTCATACAATAGGGTAGTTAGTAGGTCAAGAACATAGAATCAAAGGCCGGAAAGGACTTCGGAGGTCTTCTAACCTAATCCAACCCCTTGCTCAAGGCGTTTGCATCAGGAATTTGTTTTCTGCTTCCTGTTCCATCCAAGTCCAGGACTCTCTTTGTAGAAATAGGATCCTGGACTTTAACGTTGCAGAAGACCCAATACTGGTCTTCATTTTAACATCTTTGTCATTATAGTACTGATGGCGTGGGCCACTTCTCTGGGATTTAGGGATGCAGGTGGCCAGTGCCATCCTGTGGTCTTCTTTAAGAATTGCATGTCCAGGACTCCCCTTTTACAGCACTGAATTATTCATTTTGATAAAAATTCATTTTTACATTTTATTTTTTCTCAATGTTAAATGATTTATTTTGTGAGAATGACTTGTCTTAGAGGAGGGAGAAGAGCTCACTTTGGCCTGAAATCCTATTTTGGGATTCCCACCTTTGTATTGCCAGGCTGGCTGCCATGGTTCACTCACTCAGGGACGTCCCTAGGAGAAAGGGAGGGCACCAGGGGAGGGACACGCACCCCAGCAAGCACCTCCAACCCACCGCAGAAGCGGTTTCTGGGTAAGGGCTCCTCCAGTACAGCCTAGCCTTGGAGTAGGGAGCCCTCTTGATGTTCAGTCAAGCCCAGGCTGCCTCTGGCTATAAGTGATCCTTTCCCAGCCCAGCACGAATGCTCTCCTCTTTCTTGACTGGTAATAAGGTAGTGAGAAATCTCACTGGACTCCTCTGGGACCCACTCCATCACAACAGAGCAAAGGCCACCCCCCCCCCCAGAAGTGGATTGAGGCTGTTGTAAATGTTTTGTTTCTAAAAAGCTGAGATACAACCAAAACCAATACCAGGAAGGCAAGCGGGGTACCCATCTCTGCAGCTGCCATTGGGGAAGCAATGGGTTAGATCAGCAGGGCTCCCCCCAATTCTGCAGGTGCCCTGCCACTGCCCCCATGTGCAAGGAGGAAAGGGCTTCCCATGACAGGGGGCTGCACCCAAGAGCTGCACGTTGACCAAGGCCGGGAGAGTGGATCACCTGGGGGGGGGGAATCTTCATTGACTGCTTCTCTTCTAGGTAGCCCCTCCAAGGATGCCCAACGGGCCTCCTGTGCCTGCTGGTATCTCATTCTTGGGATTAGGCAGGCTCGCTCTCCAGGCCACGCATGATCTGCCCAAGGCCAAGGTTTGGCCAGCCCAAGACCTCTTTGGTGGCCGTGCCTAGGCTGCCCTTTTGAGCTCAACAGACCAGTGCTATGCTCAGCCATCCAACATCATCTCCCGAGGCCTGATTCTGGTCAAACTTACAGCAGCAGCTATTGTCTTTTGGGAAAAGGGTCTCTTGGCTTCAACTGTTGGGACTCAAGCAGACCACCTTCATCTTCTCAGCCAGCCCCTCCCCCAAGCATTTAGGCTGCTGGTTCTTCCAAGGTCAGTTTTCTCTGACCCTTTCCCCACCACTCCTCATCCCTGCCAAGCATTCTACTGTGGCTGGAAAGCTATGAATGGTAACCTGGTTGACTGCGCCCTTCTGCCTCACAATGGGAATATTTGAAATAATTCCATACCAAAGTAAGCTGGGTGGCAACCTTTAAAACCACTGCATCATTTAATGCCAGCAGTACAACGATCGGAGTCTTGAGTCTGGACATTGTTGGAAGACGCACGTGTGATAAAAAAAAAGCAAACAGCCATGCAACCAAAAATCACTGTAAAAATACCAGTACAATATATACAAATCCCTTTTCAAATAATATGTACATTTTATAGCATTTTTATAAAGCACTGGCAAATTTCATTGATAACCAAGATTTGGGTCTAAGTGAATGGATCTTGATTTACAAAAGTCAGATTGTACAATATCACAGAGCATCTATGTCCCTAGGCAGGTTCACAAGACAGAATACTTCACAAAGAGCACATTCCTTGACAAGCTGTTCATTGGTTCCAGGATCAGGATGGCTTCTCCACAGGGACATGCCCACTCCGGACAAGTTTCAAAAGGTTCCTTGGAAATCTGCTCCAGCCCTTCTCCATTTCTGGACTCCAGTGTGTTTGCATACAAAGCCTCCCCAGGTAAGTGGCTGGAAACTGGCAAAGTAGGAAACCGGCTTGGCTTTCCCAGAAAGCTAGCTTGCATTTGTACCAAAAGGACATAACTTTCTCTCCCTTCCAAGCGAGTTCTACACTGTGTTACATTCCCTGGGCAAAAAAAGGAAGAGTAGGAATCACCAAGGCAGAGAGAGAAAAACAATACACTGCAAAATGTTTTGACCCCCCCCCCCCGCAATCCATTTCAGATTAAACACTGCAAAGCCTGGGCATGAACCCTGCTCCTGTCACTCACACCCTGCAGTCTGTCAAGCTGAAAAGCCCCAAGCTGCCAAAGGATTCTTACCCCTCGGTTTCTAACAGAGCCAGCAGCTCTTCTGCATGCACTTCACAGAGAAGCCACAATCCCGGGCTGCTCATTTGCTCTGTGGGGAAGGTGGGCCTTTTCTGCTGACAGGGGCATCCCTCGGGCAGAAAAGAGGCTGCCTCTTAGCCCCAACAGGCCCAGATAGCTCAGCCCGTTGCTGAGAGGGAGGACCAAGAGCCGTATGGTGGAGTCTCCAAATTGCCTGTCTCAAGAGCACACCAGCGCACACAGATGCTCATCTTGCCAGGCCGGATCAGGGCAAAAGGTCAGTGCTTTTAACTCCAAAACAGCTGACCAAGAGAGGGCAGGGGGAGAGACGAAGCAGCCTTTTGAAGACAAACAAGTGCAACTTACTTCTCTGCATTTGAGAAGAGACCAAATCCATCAATTACAAGTACTGGAAAGACAGAAACAGGCGGGGGGGGGGGGGTTCCAGCTCTGTTCAGCAATTCTGGATAGACCAAATTTGTGGGGCTACTCTTGGTTGTTACAAAAAGGGCCCTTCATCCACAGCAACCTCCCCCCCCCAACTGCCTAGTCTGGTTTTTAAGGGAACGGGCTCTGCGCCAGGGTTTTCTGGGATGTCAGAAGGCTACGGCTGCCCTGCATAGAAGATCGTGGAAACAAATGCTTCTTTGCGGGAATGACAAACCTCTCATTTCTGAACACCGGGGGGGTTCCATTTGCTTTTTAGAGGAGTGCAGGAGACATACAAGCAAATTAGTGTTATTAATAATTTAATTTCAATACTACAAACTCTGTTTTGGTGGAAGGCATCACTTCTTCAAGAGGCCACCCACCAGAGACCGAAACAGCCTGTTATAGCCTGGCTGCATCATATCCGAATCCGGCAACCCAAGAAAACGGCAGAAGGATATTTAAAACAAAATTCAATAGAGTTACAAAAATAATTCATCATGGTTACTTCTCCATAATAATTTTTGCTGTGCTAGATTCTTTTTTAAAAAAGGCTATGATACACATATATTGTTACAGTTTAGAAACAAAGATAGATATATTCTACAGATCAGCATGGCTGACAGCTTCACCCCTTCATAGGGCACGCTAAGAAACTGACATATCCTTTCATCCTCCATTCGACAGACAATAAATACCTGAAGAGGAGAAGCAGGGGGGGATGGAGACATGGCCCAGCCACTGTGCAAAGGAGGAGGGAAGGGCTGGCAGAACCAGCCAGAGCAGGTTTGAAGACACTGAAGGATTCCGAGTGGACCTCAGATCAATCCGCAACGGAAGCCAACGCAGGGGCCATGACACAATACTGCCTGGGGTGGCTCAGGACCCCTGTGACTTTCCTACACGGTCGCTTGGAGATTACACTCAGCAAAGCTCAAAAAGATGGAGGTACACAGTCAATGGCAATTCATGGAATTTTTAAAAAGTGAAGAACACTGCTGCTGCTTTCGGACACAAGGCTGCACGTACAAGTCTTTTAATACTACTGGCAGAACGGGGAGGCCGTCGGGTCGAAGCCTTTAAAAACGTCCTTCAGAGAGCCCGCATCCTGCAGCTCCCCTTCCTGGGCAGGGCTGTTCCCTGCAAAAGGGCTGCCTGCCCCAGACTTGGCCGCCTGTTTCACCAGGCCATACACGGGTGGCACTGGGAGATGGTGGACGCCAGGCTGAGTGACAGCTGTCTCTGCAGCAGGCGCAGTGGAAACAGGAGCAGAGGGGGCCGCCTTGGGCCGTGGCCGATTATAGCTGTTGTAGCGGTCACTCGCGGGCTCTGGGCTGGGCTTCTCGGCTTCCAGCTGGTCCAAAGCTGACCGGCGCACAAACAGCGGCTCCTTTCCTCTGTTGCCACCGCCGCCTTTGCTGCCTTCGCCGCTCTTGGTGGCTGGACTTCCTTCGCCGGCAGAATCAGCCGACTTGCAGCCGGGGCTTGGGGTCCTCGGGTCGTAAAGGCTGATCCCGCTCAGGACGCTGCTTTGGCCAGGGCCCCTGCTCAACCCTCCTGCGGTCAGCAGCCTGGGATCATAAGGGGCTATGCTGGCTGCAGCCTCTGCACCCCCTCCTAGCGGGGAGCTGATTTCTGCTTGCTCTGTGGTCCCCGAGGATCCTGGCTCGGGAGCCTTGGGCAAGCGGGGGTCCACGGGCACCTTCCGCGTGCGGGGGTCGCTTGGCTTGTCACTCTGCCCAGGACTGCCTGCTGCGTTGACGGTCTTTAATATCCTGGATAGCAGCTCAAAATCCGGAAGGCTGGAGCCGGGACCGGCAGAGGGTTCTGGCTGGGACCCAGCCCGCTGCCTGGGGTCAGAGAGGCTGGAGTTCTGAGGTCGGTTCAGGCGTGGATCGAGGGCAGGCTGGGCCTGGAGAGCAGCTGGGACAGGAACTGACTCCTGCTTAGGAACAGGTAGGGGGATCAAGTCTTCGGGGCTCCAGAGCACCATGCGTGCAAAACTGGGCATGAGCAGGACCACGTCTTTCTTGATGTGGCTGAACTGCTGCAACTGGCAGCGAGGGTCCCTCAGCGAGTGGTTCGGCAGGGTGTCCAGAGGGATAGTGACCGGTTTGTCCCGCAGGGCCCTCTCTCCTTCTTCTTCCTCTGGGACAGGAACAGCCTTCTGGCTGATCGAAGGGCTCGAATGGAGAACTTCTGCTGCTTTGGGGGCAGAGGCTGCGACGTGCCGTGCCCGCCGTGGATCGGTGGGCCCGGCATCTCCGGTTCCAGAAGACTCCAGGTTTCGAGAAAGCCTGGGGTCACGCAGAAGGCGAGGATCGGCTGGCCGGCTCTTCTGAAGGCGAGGATCACTCCTGCCTGAGGCAGGAATGGCGTTTCCAGAAGGGTCTTCGTGGGGTCTGCTGGAGCTCTGCTGCCGTAGAGTCTTCAGGATGGAGCTGACGCTGCTGCTGCCTCCATCATCCTCATCACTGGAATACCAGTTGCCAGGATCACCTGGTAGAGGGGGTGGTGGTGAGCCCATACTGGCTATCTCAGAAGCCTCTTCAAGAAGCAACCAAGAATAATTTCAAAGCCACAACATTTTAAAGAGGAACCTCATTCATGGAAAGTCACTGAACTGGGCAAAAAGATTTCTGCAGACTGACTAAGTTGCAGAAAAGAACAACTGCTGTAAAATTGCTCTCTCTCAGCCAACAGTTGCCTTGATCTCCCCTGGCAATGCTGCAATGGGGGAGGGGGGAGGGGGAGGGACTCTGCTGATGGACCTTTCCTTAACCCAAGTGGGACTCATTTCCCGCTTTTCCTCCAGCAGCTCAAGTCAGCTGTTTCTTGGCACCTGCTTCATTTACTTCCCATGACAGCAACCTGTGAGCGTGACTGGCCCAAAGTCACCCTATTTTTCCAAGCTGGAGATGGACCTGCAGTTTCTCCAATCCTCATCCAGCTGCTTAGCTAGCAGACCACACTGGCTCTCCCACTGTCCACAGGTGCTGTTTCACAGGGATGGGAGTTGGGGAGCAAGCCCAAAGGAGCGCTCTCCCACGAAGGTCTGTCCCTACACTTTCAGTAGGAAAAATCAAGGCCAGCTTTCTACAGTCCCTGTGGTGGTTGAGTAAACCACCACACTCAGGCAGTGTACTATGCACACCCTGCCCATGACCCTGCCAGAATGGTGGCTGCTCCTGGATGCTGCTGCCAACCTGTCCCCCTGTGGGCTTCCAGGCCCCACCAGCACATCAAAGAACATGCCCAACATGGAGCAGGCTGGGCTTCCCCTCGCAGAGCTCACCCACCCGTCCCCCCTCTCGGCCCTTGCCTTCCTCGTGGTCTCGGTCCTGCTTGCAGCTCTCTGCCTGCCGGCGAGCCCTCTCCTCTTCCTGCTGCTTCTGCTGGATGCGAAGGTAGAGAGCCCTCTGGGTGGAAGGCAGGAAGTCTGGGATGCCGCTGGAGGGCTTTTGCAGCCTTGGGATGCCTCCATCGCAGAAGGAATCTGGCTCCAGGGAAGGGTCGGGGAAGAGCCCTTCCCCAGGAAGCTCCTCATAGCCCGGGTAGCCCTCTATGGGGGGGGGAGAGCAGTGAGAGCACTGGAACAGAAGGCAGCCACTCAGCCCGCCCCCTGCCCCAATGCCAGGCATACAAAGCCGCCCAGCCCAACTTGAGACTTGCCTGGGCCAGCCATGAGGCTGGGATCCATCTCCAGACCTTCCGGGTGCAGGTAGAAGTTGTCATAGAAGTCCTGTGTTGGGGGGCCGGGGGGCATCTCCTCAGGCCCAAAGGGCATCATGGGGGGTCCAGGGCCCAACGGAGGGCCAGGGTTCATCCCTGGGCCCATTGGCATATCAGGGCAGATGTCCGGACATAGGTCCGGAAGCATGTCAGGGGGCATGTCGGGAGGCAGCTCTGGATGCCCAGGCCCGGGGAACCGAGGTGGGGATGGACCAGGGTGCCTAGAGGAAAAGAGAAGTGGGATCAGGCACCTCTGAATGCCGGCAGGCTCTATCTCACTTCCCCAGGAAATCCAGGCATCTTGGACCTGCCCTCCACAAGGGCAGGGACTGGGCTACACCAACTGTGGCGGAAGCCCCCTCCTCTTTCTCTTTGGCCCTCTGCATCCCCTCTTACCTCACCCCCAGCTTCTCCGCCAGCTGCCCTGTAGGCCTCACGACAATCTCAAAGAGGGAAGGGATCTTCTTGTACAAGTCCTGCTGAAGCTGCTGAGGTGAGAGTGGCTCGTGGATTGGAAGAGGCATCTGCGGTGGCCCTGGTGGGGGAAGAGGCGGGGGCGGGGCAGGGGGACCTCCGGGCATGGGGCGGCTATTAGGGGAAGTTGGAGCTGGGGGCCCTGGGGGACGTGGGGGAGTGGGCAGCAATCCCACCCCAGGAGGTGGCTTGGGCAATGGGTTGATGCCCTGTTTCTTCAACTCCTCCACTTCTTTCTCATCCTCTGCTCCGGCTTCTGCATCATCAGCCAACATCTAAGAGGCAAGGCAAGGGCTGGGGGTCAGTTTCTCCAGTCGCATCTCCCACCGTGCTGAAGTGGAGCCCTCCTGGCTACGAAAACTCCAGGGGCCGTCTGAGGCCTCTCTGCAGAGCGGCCAAATCTTGGTGCTCATTTGGTCCCTTTACCTTATCCAGGAGTTCCCGAGTTTCATCGGTGAGTGGTTCGTGCGAGAACATGCAGTCGTCTCCGTTAATGCAGTTCCCAGTGGTGTGAAATAGTTTGCAAGGGAAGTCCCGTGCCAGGTGTTGAGGAAAGCAAAAAAAAAAAAAAAAAGCCACAGGAACCCACTAGCGTTAGGAGACCCAAGATTTCACAACTCTTGCTTCTACAAAGTTCCCCTTTGGGGGAAAAAGCCGGCCTGCAGCCTGCAGCGAGCCAGTCCCCTGAGTAAGGAGAGGCAGATCAGGGGACCCAAAACCTCCCAAAACCCTGTCCTAAAAATGCTGGACGAAAGTGATTGGAAAGGATATCATGCATGTAGGGACAATTCTCCGCCCTGGCACAGTAACCAGTGATGTAAAACTTGCAGAGTTCCCTCTTCTTTGGTAGCTCAATATCATGGCTAAAGTTGCAGTGTTCCCCCTGGCAGGAAAAACACAAAAAGCACACCGCTTAGCCACAGACACAACAGAACATCACCAGCTGACTGGATGCAAAACATCTCACCCTGATCTCCGGGAGAAGGGCTGGTGGTCACAGCCACAGCAATCAAAGGCCAGTCCTAGAATCCTGCCCCCACCCTGCTGGGTGAGCCTGGCCCACGATTAATTCCATCCCTTCACAACTGGGAATGAACAAATACAACTGCAGCTTCAAGGAAAGTACCACTTTGTGGGAGAACATGCACAGAACAAGAGACAGGATAACAAAGACCTCCAAGTCTGTTGTTGTTGTTGTCATTAAATTAAAATGTCCCAATGAAGTGGGGGGGGAGAGTCCCCTCACCTCTGCAGTGGAGCCTTAATGGCAGGGATCTTGCAGAGATTAAGGCATATGCCTCCGTAGGGCAGAGAGGAGCTACTTGGCCTGGAGCAGGCAAATGAGAACACCGATGATGGAAAATCATGGCTGCTGTCTTTTCGGGCGTCCTTCACTGTTTCTTTAAGGGCATGTGAATTATTCTGATAACCTCAGATCTCTAAGTCTTTAAGTAAACATGGGGCTAACCATCGTCGAGAGGATTCACTGCACAAAGGACTAAGTGAAAAGAGCTAAGCAGGAACTTTTCGAACACTGGGACTACAAGAATAAATTGGGGGGGGGGCTGGTGGCACTGATGCACATGAAAAAAAGGCATTCTGGCGCTCCTAGCCCACGCCTCCCCCTTCTGCCACAGAAGGAAACGGAGCCGGCGGCTTCTCCGCTCCTGGGCAGCCCAGACTCCTGTTCTAAGGCACCTGCAGGGAGTCCTCGACTTACAACCATTTATTCAGTGACCATTTGAAGTTACAACAGCACTGAAGAAAAGTGACTTATGACCATTTTTTATACTTATGACTGCTGCAACGTCCCCATGGTCATGTGATCAGAATTTGGACGCTTGGGAACCGGTATGTATTTATGATGGCTGCAGTGTCCCGGGATCACTCCAACCTTCTCACCAGCAAAGTGAATGGGGAAGCCAGAGTCACTTAACTGTGTTATTAGCTAAACAACTGAAGTGATTTACTTAACAACTGTGGCAAAAAAGGTCATAAAAGGGGGGTGCGACTCCCTTAACTGTCTCGCTTAGCAGCAGAAATTTTGGGTTCAACTGTGGTCGTTAAGCCGAGGACTACCAAATTGGGCACCTACATCGCTGATCCTGATCACTGGTCAAAGCACAATAAATGAGCTGGAACCGAGCTGCACCTACCCAAGTGCATCTTCCTTCCACAAAATACTTGCAGACAACTTTTCCTTTCTTATCTGACTGCTGGTGAGATTTCTCATGATCGTTCCGCCTGTAATTCCCACAGCTACCACCTCCATCCTGTACGGATCACAAGAAAAATATTCATTTGACTGATTTATATATCAATGTTAGGCAGACTTTTGTGAAAAAAATTAAAACAATTTGTAAGAAAGAATAGTGGCAAGAATAAAAGCCAGATAAAATTAATTTGGTATCCTAGTTTCTAGGTGAATAAAAGATATTTTGCTGGTTTTGTAGGAAAAGCATGCCAAAGCTGGTGTGCCACAAGGAAAAAAGCTCCCACTTGGGTCATCCAATCTTTTGCAGCTGCATTTCACAGTGAGATTCATGCAACCCTTGAGTTCTCTTGAATAGCCCCAGCTGCCAAGGTGTTCAGGATTTAAATGAATTCAAGAGCTTAAGGATTTAGATGTGGACCTGAGTCCACTGCCTTACACTCAGTCCAGAGCCAACGAGAATGGAGGATCCGGAGCTTCGCGCTATTTTCTGTATTACCAATTTCCTGATTCGTCTGCATTGAACAGCCCAGCTCTATCCGTCCTGGAAAGGGTCCCACTGAGGCACCAGTCCTAGCAGGTGGGAGATGCTTGGCCTCACCTGGGCCTCCCAGGGAGTGCACTCCCATGCTGCCTGGAGTCAACTGCCACTTCTTGGCCTCCACCCTACCTCAAGCCCGTTAGACCCAAAGCAAGCGAGGGGCCTCCTAGGCCACTTACCCCCAGGTCATCTTCATAGTAGTCGTCCTCCTCATTGAGCCCCCCCGCTTTGCCTAGGCCTGATCTGCCACGATGACCTCGTCCACGGCTCATCCCCTTGCCTCGTCCCCTGGAGCCACGGCCTCGGCCACGGCCCATGCCTGTAACAAGACCAGTCAAGTCGATTCTGCAGCCCAGCCATGGAAAGCCCCGCCCCGTCGTCTGCTTGGCAGAGGCCTTGGGCAGCCGAGGCTCCAAAGGGAGGAAAGGAGGGTTTCACTTTTTCTCCCTCCACCCATATACCTCTCCCCCTTCCTTCTTTGCTTCTGCGGTAGTGGTTCAGCTCTTTGGAATAATCATCGTAGTCTTCCTCCCCCATGGGCTCCTCTCCTTCGCAGAACTGCCAGGCAGACAGAGGGGAAATTAGCCAAAAGGGACCGTGGCAGGAAGCCAGGCTGAGCAAGGACAGATCTCAATGTTCACCTCCATCTCCTCGTCGTAAATTTCTTCCCCCTCCTCCTCCTCAGGATGCTCTCCCCTTCCCCTGCCTCGGTTGCTCCTGCCCATGCCTCGTCCTCTCATTCCACCTCTTCCGCGTCCACGGTAACCTCGGCCTCGACCACGGCCACCTGTTGACACAAACCAGAGAAGGTGCCAAACCGATCAGACTCCAGCATTTGCATATACACTAAACTATACCGGTTTTGTTTGATTTACCTGGTTTAGTGTGGTGTGGGAACTGAGCCAATAAGGTTTGCTGTGAGAAAAAGAAGCAACTCAGGGCAATACTCTTAACTGGGACCACTGTTTAGGGGGAAAAGCACAAAGCCATTTGATATCTCTTCCCATTTGTTGTCTCTTTTGAGAAACTACAACGTTTTTATGCAATGCCATACATTAGCCTCTACAAACCAATGGAGATACCAGGTATGCCTGCATGCTGACTTTCTAAAATTCAGCTCCCAATTCAAAGAAACCCAGAAAGAAAAGGCATTAACTTTAAAATGTTGTATTACCAGGAGCTGAGTGCCCTTTTGGAACCAGAGTCAATTGGGTCTTGGATAGGTTACATGCAAACGGGGACAGACACCCTCAATAGGGAGAGCTGCACAGTTCCTCGCTGCTGAGGAAAGGAAGCAGAACCAGAATGTTCTGTCTCCATTCTGTTTGACACTCCAGAGCAAAAAATCAGTAACTGCTGTGTCATTTAAAAAGGCAGCACACACTCCCCACGGACAGCTACGGACAACCACGTTTTCAGGAGAGGCCTGGGTTGTTGTTGTTTTGTTTGGTTGTCTGGTTGCCTAGTGGCCAGCACCTGCCTCGCTCGCTCAGTGTCTGGGCTGAAGGAAAAACAAGCGTACCTCGGCCTCTGTGCGTCCCCTCCTTTGCTCTCCGGTACTGGTTCAGCTCCTTTGCAAAGTCATCATACTCTTCTTTCCCCATGTCCTCCTCCTCCTCCGCCTCGTAGTCACAGTAGCCCTCGTTCTCATATTCTTCGTAGGGGGGGTAGCTCTTGTTCTCCATTTTAGGATACCCCTTCTTTGGGGCACTGTGAGATGATGAGTACTGCTGATGGGACTGAAGGCAAACACACAAATGGTTATGGTTGAACAAAAGAGAGGACACAAGTGGAACTAGACCTCCAAAAGAAGAAGTGGCTCTCAACCCATTTTACTCTGTAAAGCATCACTTTTACACAAGGAGCAGAAGCAAACAACGTTGATTTGCTGCCATCCAAACAGCATCCAAACATCTCGACTGCTAATCTACTGGACATCTGACAGGCTAATCTTCCTCGGGGCTCCCACCCTTAGGCCACCCCTATGGATGACCCTCAGCACTCACAGAGGAGTAGAGGGGGCTGTACTCCCGGTACTTCCGGTGCCCCTTTTCGTTTGGGCTGAAGTCAGAATCCTCACTGTAGTCGGAGAAGTCTTCGCTGGAAGAGGCGTGGCGCTGCGAGGAAGGAGAAGCTGTTGACTCCCAACCAGACGCTGACGTTCCCCCCTCCCCCCCCCGTGAGTGCTTATCCCACAATTCTGGCCAAAGCCTGGAAGACGGCCGGGTCAGCCCCACGCAAGTGGTCCTCCACCTTCCTGGTGGGAATTCAGTATCTTCCGAGATGCAGGATTTGACTACTTTGGGACCGTCAGGCCCCGGGCAGAGGAAACGGGGCCCGGAAACAGGGCCACCCCCTAACTGACCAACAATTCTGGTTTTGCGAGGGGTGCAGAAAGGCAGCCTGCGCTCTGTTGCCCCCGACAGACTGGGGGAGGGGGAAGCAGGTTAGCCTCTCAAGGCTCCTCTCCCGTTACTCACTTTGTGTTTTGATTTTCTTTTCTTTTTCGATCTCCGCTTCTCCTTCTCTCTCTCTTTCCGACGCTTCCTTTTCCTCCGGTGCATCTTTTCTTCCTCTGAGTCGCTGTGGTGCTTCTCGTTTTTTTCCTTCCTGCTCTTCTCATGGGTCTCTGAAGCACCGTTGGGCTCCTCACCCCCGTCGTCTTCCAACTCTCCTTCTTCCAACTCACCATCCTCCCTGAAAAGGTGGAACAGCAAAATCAACGACTGGAAGTAGCAGGAAAAAGAGCAACGGCAGGTTCCAAAACTGAAAATCACACGAATTACAAAATATTCCTATATGTTTTTCAAAAATCCCTCTGGGCAATTCAGTGATTTAAAAAAAAAAGGAAAAAAAAGTCTAACCTGTTAGCCAAAATAGATCCTTGTAGTATTTTCCGGCAAGAGAACAGAAACCTACTTACAAACACATGATGGTTTATCAATTGCACTATAATTTATATACGTCCGTTAGATAAGATGCCATTGATAATTCAGTCAATTGTGGCAAACGATAAATCAGTGTGAATCTGCTAGTTATAAACATCAGACTTCTCTTCTCCAAAAGCAGAACTATAAAACTCTTTCAGCCTCGGGTGATTTTGTGAGCTAAAGCTCCAGACACGGAGGCTGTAAAATGAGGCATCATCCAATTTCTACTTTCTTTCTACCACAGAGCCTCTCTCTGAAGATCAGGAACCCAAAGGCCCGAAGAAGACTGCAAGCGTCTTCAAAGCATATGTTCTTCACCCACTGCTCAGTCAGACCACAGGGTTCACTTGAGGAGGAGGAGGATACGGGAACGGCCAATCGCTGAGCAACCGATTCAAAAATTCACGATAGCTGTATTATGCTTCTGCCTTCAGGGGTAAGATGAAAGAAGCTCCTACATAACTGCTGACAAGGAGAATTTAGTGCTGGATTTCCAAGGCCTTTCTTTGGTTCATAAGATCTTATTATAATAATGATATATTAAGATTTATAAGATTGTCAAATCAAAAGGCAGCATAGTCATCCTAATAATACACAACCAAACAGCACAATGTGAAAATAAACAAAGAATTCCAACCAATCAGCCAGCCATCATCAATCAATCAAATGGAACCACAAAACACTCAGGCCTGTCTGAAAATCCAAGTTTTCAAAGCTTTTCTAAAGGGCAGCAAAGTTGAGGCAAAACAAATCTCAGGGGGTTGCAGAGGCAGGAGGGAGACAGAGAGTCCTTTCAATAGAATTTAGTCTGGGGTTATTGCATAGGGCTGCAGCCTTAAATGCACACAGCTGGAAAAAAAATGGATGACTTCAACTCTACCTGTGCAATCATTTACCCAGATATTATTATCTTATGAAGGCTAAACCCTCCATCTTACTGACAGCTATCAAAACCAGTTCACTTTCCCCCGCTTGCGGTCTCAGAGCAGGGAGAAAAAATGTTACATGTACTATGCCCCCCATGTACAGGGTTTTTTCCATGACTTCTACCATTGTGTATGTGTGGGGATATCTCTAGTTTCAGCCTTTTTATTTAAAATTTACTGCTCGTTTCTTTTTTGCTTGCCACTACTGTAATGTTAAAATCTCATGCCCAAAATTTTTTAGCCTGCCACAGACACAATTGATACCTTTGTTACGATTATGGCACAGATATATATATTTGCAGAGGCAACTGTCAATCATCAATGAACAACCCTATCCCATTTGGCAGGAAAAAAGTGCAAGACAGCCAAATTAACCCCATGTAATTGATCAGTGTATGGAATTCAGTGGTGCACAAAAAAGGAGTAAGTGAAACTTACAAATAAAATGCAATTACTGTAATAGATACATATTTAAACTCATTAAAACAATGGGACATCAGCTACTTATGATGATTAATTTAAGGCCTAGTTCTTTGAATGTAGTTACTGAAGTTATAATTAAGTCTGGATACAAGCCAACATCTGTTCAGTTATGGAGTTAGGAATTAAGAGGGTTTAGATAAATATTTATTTTGGTCAATTACCAGATAATTAGGGGAGCTTAAACCCAATACACCTGGAAAACATTTATAGGGCAAAGGGAACATGGGTGGGTTGGGATCATGGTGATGATCATCATCATCATCATTTATATGCCACTAAATTCCCAGTGACAGAACATATTTATAAATGACTTGGATGAGGGACTAGAAAGTACAATTATTGAATCTGGGATAAAACATGGAGCAAGCACCCTAAAAGGGGTACCAAGAAGCAGGTGGATCTCAACAAGCTGGAATATTCAGCTAAGACAAGTAAGATGAATTTCAACAGGACAAATGCAAAACCCTACATTTGGATAGGAAAAATCAAGGGCTTAAGGAGAGGAAGGGCTAAACCATATTGGTAGAAGCACATAAAAGGATCCGGGTGTCTTGATGGGTCACATGAGCCAAGAGTTCCAGAAAAGCTGGAATAAATCGACAAATAGTGGCAAGCTGGGCTGCACTGACCAATGTAGAAGATCGAGTCAGCCTTAGTCTGTGCTAGTCAGACTGCATTTAGAATATGTGTGCCCAGTTCTGGGCATTGGATTTTAGAAAGGATACCAATAACTGGGGGATGTCCGGAGGTGAGCGATCAATAGGATAAGGGGGAAATCCTGCTAGGAGCAGCTGGAGGCACTGGGTATGCTTAGCCCGGAAAGACTGCGAAGAAACACAATGACCGCCTTCAAGTGTCAGACGGGCTGCTCTTCTGGGAGATGGACAGGAAATCCCAGGTCTCAGCTCTAAGGCCGAAGATTTTAATTGGCATTTAGGAAAAACTTCCTAATGGTAAAAAGAGAGCGACTGCTTCAGGAGAGGAGGGTTCTCCTACACGCATAGTCTGTAAACTCTCCCAGTTTGGGAAAAACGTTGCTCTAGTCCTTTTCAACAGAAATGACCTTTGCCAGGCAGGAAGGGACCTGCTGCTGTAGGAGGGGCAGAATCTGGGGGCGGAGTTAAAAGAAGAATCAGTCTAGAATCCCTACAAAGCCACAAGTTGACCACGTCCAACTCTGTGCAACCCACTTGAATTCCGTGGATTCTTCTCTAATTCCGAATGGGTTAGGGTGAGTTGAGAAGACTCCTGTTTGTAGGCTGTTTAGCTTAACTGGACCTTCCCGTATAGACCTGATCTTTCCTGCCTGACACCTGCATAGTCACAAAGGCCATCAGGTACGGCCTATGGAACTCTGAAGCATCCCTGGGAGTTGGCCATCCAGCCCTTGCTAATATGCATCCAATATGAACTGCTTCACAATCGTTCTGAAACAGAATTAATTAACCACAACATATTGAGTAACAGCAACTGGCAATGCAATAAACAAGTTTACAAACAATGGATTTGAACAACATACAAAGCACAACAAACTAAACTTTGGCTTAGCATGATGAGTGAGCCTAATCCTTTTTTTTCAATAAAATCTGGTTATAAACTTTTTTTTTAGTTTATAAACTAGTTTCCAGTATTCTAAAATAGGAAAGCCCCAATTTCACAAACTAAAGAAATGCCAGTACAGATGCTGATATCTTCTATACTACATGCCAGCAAATTTGCAGGAAACTACAGGTACTACGGTATCTATATACAAAAGAAGTTAAGACCTTTCTTTCTGCAATTATTGACTTATCAATATCCAAATGAAAAAAGCAAAACTTAAGATCTCTCTGGTCTTGAGGTATGTTTATGCCTCAGTCCATCTTAGCTCTTTCCTTTCACCTGTTTTGTCCCTTTGGGGCCCTTAAATTTTTCCTCAAAGACCTTGTCAATTGTTGCAGGAATTCTGTTCTCAACCCAACTTCTTCATCTCTATATTTTCTGCTGCTAAGCCCACCATGAGTCTTTCATCTCAAACTGAGAAAGGATTAAAGCAAGAAATGAACTCCAGAATTATTCACAGACCACAATGAGCACCCTAAGTGTGCACTTAGGATTTCATGGCCAAACCAGAATTAGACCAGGTGATACAATTTTATCAGGTTGAATTGTTCAGTTCTTGAAAAGAACAGAACCCCTTTCCAGGAAATGAATGTTTTGGCAAGACAGCAGAGAAAAGATGACCCGAGTCTCAAGGCTCTCAGGCCTGGCCTCTGCCACTTATTGTCGGGTGGAAGAGCAGCCTGTCTAGGCGTGCCTTTTTTCTCCCTTCCCTTCCATCCTCTCTGATTTTTGGAAACCGTCTGGACAAGTCTCTGCATTTTTCTGTGCAAGATTTTTGGGAAGCAGTTTGCCACTGCCTCCCTTCCTAGGGCTGAGAAAAAGTAAATGGCCCAAGGTCACCCAGCTGGCTTTGTGCCCATGGCAGGATTAGAACTCACGGTCTCACCACAATACCAAACTAGCTCTCAAATGCATGCCTACTCAGATATTCTGCATTTACTGGGACTGCTCCCAAATATGGGACTTTAACATTGTCAAGTGCTGGGTCTTAAGACTGCAATGTCAAAGCAAAAGTAATCCCAGAAGATCTAACACATGTTGGCTTACAGCTGTGTGGCAAGCTACTAACTACAATTCTGAGTAAAATTATTATTACTGAAAAGTGTACGATTCTGCCACCTCCAACTTGCCAAACACTTTCGCCCTGGCTACAGAGCAAAGCAACATGGTTGCCATGAAGTTATGGTGTTTTCACAGGATAAAGCTGGTATTAGGGGAATTGCTAGTCTAGTGGCTCGCCCACCATGGGACTACATTTGCCCACCTCAGCAGAATGCTCCTTTCAGGTAGGCTACTGCCTCACAGTCAACCTGTGTGAGCTCACGGATCACATGACTGGAGCCAGCCAGCAGCCCAGCTTGGAATTCTCCTCCCAGGTCTGGACCAGACATCCCCCCCCCTCCTGTCACTAATTCAGGCAGTTTTCACAATACTGGCTGCACCACATATCGCATAATTCAGGGCAAGGAACAGTGCCTGGTTGTTGGAGGACCATGGAAGCCTTGGCAGAACCTCAAAGGAGAAGTGGGATAACTGAATGTGCAGGGAAACTGTATGGTCCAGGCACCAAGATGGGAGCTGGGAAAGGGAAGGAAGGACTCAACAATCACAAGGCTTGAAGAGAGCATAAGGCAGAGCTGAAGGGGAGAACACCGAAGATGAGAAGGACAAGGAGAGAGGCAGCGATATCACTGGCACTATGATTACAATTCTATCGTTTGAATACACTGAGCGCTTCTGTGCCGGAAACAAATTCCTTGTGTGTCTAATCACACTTGGCCAAATGAAGTATCTCGATTCCTAAGAAAAAACTACAGACTAGATTCCCTATGACAGAACTTCATGCTGTGGCTTAGTTCCAACAGGAAAAAAAATATGGAAGGGTCAATAAGTTATTTACTATTAGTGCCAAAAGTACATACCTAAGCAGGTTTATTCTAGCTTTGGGCTGAAAACTAGACTGAAATAACTTTTCAAATTGTTTTCTTTTAAAGCTGGTTGTCTCTGCAGCCGCCTAGTGGCCCTGAAGAAGAAAGCTGTGGAAACCCTCCCCAGCCAGCCTGATTCACAGATCTTCTGGTAGGATTGCCCTGCAACCCGTTGCCACAAAATGGAGGCGGTGCTTCTCTTTCAAAGCACCCAGGAGGACCAGAGAAGCGCCAGCTCAAGCCAGGGAGGCTGCTGAGCCACGCTCTCAAAGCCACTGCTGGTGCTGGCACCAGGAACATTAACTGTGGGGATTTCTCCATAAAGGAAGATGGGAGCAATACAACTACAGCACCAGAGTTCCTAGCCTGCTTTGAACTGAACTACAAAACTAGGGCAGACCATAGAGTTGCAGCCACACAAAAAGCAACACTCACAGCCAGTAATATTTTAAAAACATTATTGTGAATGGACGAAGTAGATTTTTACCTGCTGTGCTAAAAGTGCACTTTACTCAATAGGTAAAAGCATACATTTGGGATTACATGCAAGATGACTTTTATGAAACTCACTGAAAAACTGAGCACCTGGAAAAAAAAGGAAAGGCCGCGTCTACCAAAAAGAAGCCCCAAATCCCCTTGCCTGTGGCTAAGCACCACTGAAATAAGCACAACTGCTCAGCCTGACTATTTTCTACCGATTTCAATCAGAGCCAATTCGCCTAATCAATTCCATATCACAGCAGAGCTTCAAGAGAGACTAACTTGACTTTGGATTTTTACTTCCTTGGTGGAGCCAGGAACGCTGTTGCCTTTAAGGGAGAATTTCAAAGGCAGGGTCGCACACTATGACACTGGGATGGTTAATTTTGCTTTCTTTTCCTTACAATTGAGGACATCCCTACCTCCAAGACCAAATATGGTATACACTTCACTCGCCCTTCTTTGCAACTCTCCACTGCAGCTGTTACCCCCGGGAGAACTGCAATTATTGAAGCCATTCAATGCCAAGCTATCTCCGGCCTGCTGGCAAACACAATGCCTGAGTGAAGAGGCCAGAAAACTAAAGGTGCTGTGTTTGTATAGAATTCGGCCGACTCACAAGATTCACCATTGAACCAATTCTTCCCAAAGGGGCACGTGCCAAATTCAACAGGGTTCTCTTAGAGCAGAAGACAAGTCAGGAGATGCCACTTCAAAACAGCAGCGGAGTGGGAATTTGCCTGCTGGCCCAGCTCACCCCCCCCTAACCCTGGAATCTCCCAATCCTGAATTTTCCCACTTTTTTTCTCTCTGCAAAACTACTGGTATCTAGGGCAAAACAAAGCTTTGTAGAGCATTGACCATCGACACTTGCATGTTTGGAGTGTATCAAACTACTGGGCAAAGGATCAGAATTTACAGGGTACAACAATATATGAATTTTTGGTATGCTATTCTGTGTATTTCTATGCAAACTGCCAGCCCCATTTTATATCAACTATCAATCTCCATTGAAAACTGAAGCCAAATGGCAGCTTTCGGCAGCTCTTCCCTGCCTCACTCTCTTGGATCCAAGCTTCCTATGAAATAACCAGGCAAAAGTCAACTGGGTTATGGAAATTTCTAAAAGGTTGATTGAAAGCGGAAGTAAAATGGTCAAATGTTTCATATGTTATAGCGAGCTGTTACAAATATTGAAATGTGTCCTTTGAGAAAATGTATATTTGTTGCTTCATAAAATAAAGTATGCGAGTGAAGTCTACTTCATCCCAAGCTACAAACATTGGTCAAATTAACTACCCCTATTTTGGCCATCAGGTTTTAGGACCAGAAAGGAAATGTTATGCTTGCCAAGAACACCTGATTGACCCTGGTGTGAATTCAATGACAACCACATTAAAGAGGCAGAAATTACAAAGAACTATGCAGGTAATGGCTTAATGGTGCATTAGTACTGTATGTTAACTTTTAAAAATGCCCAACTTATTTCCTTGTTTTGTAAATTTAGGTTTTCTAGTACATGAGTACAACACTAACTTGGTAGGCAAATGAAGAGGAACAAATAAGGCAACACTATTTTAGATGAACCAAAGAGTGGCTTCCTCCCCAATCAGAAAAAAGAAAATAGTGTGCCAGGGGACAGGGTGATGCCCTTGATTGGCAAGGAAACTACCAGACCAGGGGCCGGTTCTGGAGAAGACCCGGGCTCGGGGCTTCTCGACCCGATGGGCAGGGCACGGAGCAGCCGGGCTTCCTTGATCTCGTGTGGGGAAAAGCGTGGACTGTTCACGGTGTGTGGTTAACAAACGGGCCACAACAGGGGCGCTCAGGTGCTTGTACTGTACACGGCCACGCTCGCGGGGGGGGCAGCGGGGGGGCGGGAGGCAGCGTGTGGTGACGGGGGGGGGGAAACTCTGTGATTGTCGCACTTCGCGGCTGCTTACAGTTTTCCTTCGGGCTCAGCCGGGCCACGCAGCGGAGGCGGACTCGGCCCACCGGCGGCGCCCGGGCGGCACCCGCATCGCGGCGGGCTCGGGCTTTTTAACCCGACCGAAGCGAACTCCGGCTCCGGCGGGGTCGCCCCCGCCGAGAGGGACCCCCCTGGCCGGCGCGGCGGGAGAGGAAGGAATGGCGGCCAGGCGGGGAAACAGGCCGCGGAGGCTGCGGCTGCCACGACCGCCGGCCCGGCTCCCCCCGGCGCGGGTGGGGGCTCCCTCCCCGCCCCCCGCCCCCCCGCCCCCCCGCGAGACCCAGAGAAAAGAGAGGAGAGAGAGAGAAGAGAGAGAGAGAGAGAGGCGGGTACTGGACCTTTCGTCCGGGCCGGGCCCGTGGAGGAGGAGGAGGTGTTGTTGCAGCGGCCGGGCGCCAGCGCCGCCGAGGCCCGGGCTGCCGAGAGGGCCGTGCAGGAGCAGGGGGTTGGCGGCGGCGGCGGCCGGAGAGGGGGCCGGGGGGCTGGCGTGGGGGCTGCTGGGCGGAGGCACGCTGGGGCTCTCCACCGCCATGGGGGGGCCGGGCCGGGGGGGAGGGCGGGCGCGACGGGGGCACGGGGCACAGTCACTGTACGGGCGGGCCTGGCGCCGCGCTCGCTCGCTCGGTCGCTCGCTCGTGGGCTCGCTGGCCGGCAGGCAGGCAGGCAGGCAGGCAGGCGGCGGCGGCGGCAGAGGCAGAGGCGGTAGGCTGGCTCCGAGGCTGCACCACACAAAATGGCGCCGGCCCGCCTGAGAGGAGGGAGAGAGAGCGAGAGAGAGCGACGCCCGAGCCAGCCAGCCAGCCAGGCGCGGCGCGCGCGGCCACACCCGACCCGACCCGAGGCAGCGAGCGCGGGGGCAGGGCCGACGGCGGAAACGCCCGAGCGGTGCCGGAAATTGCCGGACGCGCCCGAGCGGCCGCGTCACCGTCGAAGGCGGGCGCGGCGTGGCTCCTCGCCAGGCCACGCCCCTCGCCGCCATTCGTAGAAGCCGGCCGGGCGGGAAGGGAGGAAGGCGGCGAGGGGCGGCTGCGCGGGCGCCATGGTGGAGGAGAAGGAGCGGCCCGGCGGCCGCGGCAGCGGCGGGATCAGCGAGGAGGAGGCGGCGCAGTACGACCGGCAGATCCGCCTCTGGGGGCTGGAGGCGCAGAAGCGGTAGCGCGGGGCGGGCCGGGGCGCGGGCGGGGCCGGGGCCGGGCGGGGGTCGCCCCTGATGCGCGTCTCTCTTCGCCCCGCAGGCTGCGCGCCTCTCGGGCGCTGGTGGCCGGGCTGCGCGGTCTGGGCGCGGAGGTGGCCAAGAACCTGGCGCTGGCGGGCGTGAAGGCGCTGACGCTGCTCGACCACCGCCAGGTGGGTCCGGAGGGCCTCCTGCCCAGGGGGCCGCCGGGGAACCGGGAAGGACGGCCGAGTGAGCGGGGAGGGCCGGGGCGCGCGCGGCGGTAAAGCGCCGGTGGAGGGAGCCCGGCGGGCTGGGAAGGGGGCGGCGGGGCGGGAACGTGCGCGGCGGCCCCTGCTCCGACCTGCCGGCTCCTATCGGTAGGTGTCCCTGGAAGACGCGCGCGGCCAGTTCCTGCTTCCCGCCGACTCCCCGGGAAGGAACCGAGCAGAGGCGTCCCTGGGACGCGTCCAGGACCTCAATCCCATGGTTGACGTGAAAGCAGATCCGGAGAACATTGAGCAGAAACCGGAGGAATTCTTTACTCGCTTTGATGTGGTGAGTCCCAGCAGGGACGTAGCAGCCCTGAGGCCTTCCTTCGGCCCGTAAGGGCCCTCTCTGCCCACCGATTCCACCAGCCTGCCAGGGAGCCTCAGAGGTTGGGCTGCCTGCCTGGTTGTGTGAGCAAGTGATGGCTTTCTCTGAGGAAGCCCCCCCGCCCCCCACCCCAGAAATTATCTTCTCTTCAAGGGAAGAGAAGGTAGCTACCAGCTTCGCTAGCTGCCTTGGGCTGGGGTTAATGTTTGCTTGTTTTGGTCACTTGCATAGAGATAAAGTTTCCCCTGGTGTCTTTCATCTTCCAGGTCTGCCTGACATGCTGCACCCAGGAAGTCCTCCTGAAGGTGGACCAAATCTGCAACAAACATGGCATCAAGTTTTTCACTGGTGATGTCTTTGGCTATCATGGCTACATGTTTGCCAACCTGGGTGAACATGAATTTGTTGAGTGAGTTTCTCTTGGCTTGGAATCTGGGGCTGACACCTGTATATGAAGCCAGTGGGGCTGAATGAGATAACTCGCTCAATATCCTGGCCGGGGGGGGGGGGGGCTATGGGTCCAAGTGAAGAAGGGAAATGGCTGTCTTGCAGCTATTCTGTAGGTTAGCTACTGGCTGAAATGAGGGGTGGAAAGTTATATTAACCTCCCTGCTCACTCTGCTTTACAGAGAAAAGGCAAAAGCTACCAAAGCCAGCCAGGAAGGGCAGGGGGGCTCTGATGCAAAGAAAGCCAAGCTGGATGTTGCAGAGACAACCCTGGTGAAGAAGGTGCGTGGGTGAAGTTTGTGGAGTATAGAAGATGAAGTGGGCTTGTTTCAGGAAATCTTGACCATTTGGCTGTTTCTTTCAGAGCCTGTTTTACTTCTGTCTATGGTATAGAAAGTTTTATGCATTTCATGGCCAAGCTATAAACAGACTCCTTATAGCTGAGAATCCCGTCAGGCAAGCTACTCTTATATTGCAGATTTTAAGTCTTTGCTTGGCCTCCCAGCACTTTTGACCTTTCAGGGACCTTAGAAGATCAACTAGTCTAGCCCCCTGCACAGTGCATGATCTAAAACATCTCCAACAGACCCAGCCAACCTTATTTGAAAACCACCTGCAAAGGACAACTCTCCACTTCATGTGGCAGCTTGTTATACTGTTCTGTTCATTCCTCAGCTGGTCATGACTTGCCATTCTAGGAAGGTTGATCTATCAGTCAGACCTGTATTAACACCAAGGAGTGCCTGGACTTAAGGGTTGAAATGGAAAGTGCAAAAATGCACTTGAGTGCATTTGTCCAATTGGGAACCATGGTTTTATGCATTTGGGCTTCTGTGCTGGAGTGAGCTTGGGTCAACATAGAATAGCAGATGAGGTTCCATGAGAAGAATGGAATTGCAGAGTGAATACTCCAGTTAACCTCTAAAAAATTACAAATGGCAGTTGTAGCTCTCAGTGCCCCCCCGCCAAAGAGTTTGAAGACATACCTCCAATGAGGCGCTACCAGCCCCTGGTGGTTTCTGAGGTTCTCTAGTTGAAGCCCCCAAATTTCTGGCCCCATTTTTTTAAAACAATATGTCATCGCTCTGGATTTTAGAAAACTGGTTTCTGTTTAATAGTAGAATGAAAAATATCCAGCAGGATCTTCTACTGGTTATTTGGATACCTTTATTCTACTGAATGCTTGGTGATCTTGTATTTCAACTGTGGGACCCAAGGAGGGAGCACCCGTACATCTGCATCTGCATTCATCCATTCCTATTTGCTAGAAAGGGCCAGGGTTCTGCCCTGAGGAGGGGCCGCCACTGCCCCATCTCTTTCTGGCAGATGAGGCCTTCTTGGCAACTTCCAGAATACTCCCTTCACTTTATAACTTGCCCTTCATTGGAGCTGCCAGTGAACAAGTTGTCCACCTGCTTGAAAGAGCAAATGATGCAGAAAGTTGGACAAGTACAGTAAAGCAGAGTTAAAATCTTAACTCCTGGATCCTGGTGCATCTCCATAGTTCTACTAGCTCCCTGCAGTTTCTGGGAAGGTACCTGTGGAAAGCATCTTGCAGGTTAAGTGAAGCGATTTGAATGCCTCTGTTGCCTCACTGCCCTTTTTCTTTCCCCCAGCACACTCATTTTTGCCTCCTAAAAGATGCTCTGACTCTCAGCTGGAGCAGCGAAGGGGCCAAAGCAGCCCTGAAGCGGACTGCCCCAGATTACTTCCTGCTGCAAGGTGAGAGATGCAGCTGAGATGGAGGCCTCTGCTGGGATCCGGCCTGGCAATGGGACAGCAGATTAGGAGGCGAGTGTTCCTTCAGGTCATGTGATTCCTGGCCAGAGCAGACAATGGAGGAGTCTCCAGCTGATGGGCATGTGAGCTCCTTGTGGTCCAAGGGAGAAGCGGACGTGAGCTGAAGCAAAGAGCCCTGGGAATTGGCCCTAGAACAGGCCAGGCATTCATGGAAAGCTCAACGGCCCCTCCCTCCTCTCCGGAGATGGAGATGGAGGGGTGCACTTTGCAAGGTGTGGGGCCCGGCTTTAGAAGGTGGACTGCCCCAGTTTCCCTCCCCTGGCAGCTGGAACCTAAAACCTCAGGTATACCCAAAACTTGGTTCAGTTGGCCAGAAAAGATTCCGAAGCTACCCAGATTAAACTGGTGCTTTGTTTCCTAATCTCGCCATGGGCATTTTGGTTTGGAAAGGCAGCAGTCTCCTCTCTTACTTGGTTAAATGAGAAAACAAATTATGTGCCTTTTTAAAAAGGTTTTTTTTATCCCGACTTAATATTTGTATAAGTATCTCAAAGCATTAAACATATCTAATACTTCTCCCTCCTATTTCCCCAGAACAACAATCCTGTGAGGTGGGTTGGGCTGAGAGAGAGTGACTGGCCCAAAGTCACACAGCTGGCTTTCATGCTTTCACTAGCACTGATGATGTTATTTAGTTTGATCCTGAAATGTCTGCAAGAAAACAGCCTCAAGGGACCCCTCATTTCAATACTAACCTACACATTTTCTCCTTTATTGATGGCTTCCTTGCCTAAGGCAGAACTTGAACTAGCAACCTCCTGGTTTTCTAGCCTGGTGCCTTAATCACTAGACCAAACTGGCTTTTCGCTCCGGTTTCTCTTTGTTCTTCAGTCACAGCAGTTTGTTGTGATCTGCAGGTCCTCTTTCAGAGGGGGGAGGATCATTGTTTGTGGTGTTTTGCGTCACCCCTTTGGGGAAGAAGAATGTCAGAAGGGGTCAGGATAGGAGACATGCTTTCGTGTATATGCTGTAGATTGACTCCATGAGCATGGAGATGGTCTGGATGGACTGTGGATCATGGCACGGTGCGGTCACTGCCCTTTGACTTACTAGCAGTGGTTCTCAACAGTCAAGGGGAGCAGAGATGAGCGGCCCCAAATAAGGGGGGAGCTGGGTGTGGTGCCAGGCATGCTGTAGGTCTTGTAAAACAGACTATTTGTCGTCTCTTCCTCTTGCAGTGCTTTTCAAGTTCCGGATACAAAAGGGGCGAGACCCTTCCCCACAGAGTTATCTGGAGGATGCAGAGGCACTCCGCCAGATGCGCTTGGATGTGCTGGCCTCTTTGGATGTTGGAACTGACCTGATTGCTGATGACTTTGCCAGGCAGGGCCCTCCGTTCTACCTTTGACCAGATTAGGGGGCTAGCCTTGCCGCGGGTCTTCAGCCCCCCCCCCCCGCCCCCCAGCTTGGGACCAAAGAGCAGTGGATGGACATCCCGGAGAAAAACTGGCTCAGGATGCTGTGTGCCAGCCACCAAGCAGTTCCCCTTGGTGGGGCCCAGCAGCCAATGGATGGCGATGGTGGTGCTGGCCTCA